TAATTATCTTATAAGTTAAATAATCTATTTTATATACTTATAATTAAAAAGAGGAAATATAAAACAAAAAGAGAGGTTAAAAACAGAAAAAGAATATATATACACTTAATAAATCTTAGTGTATTCTTACTACTTTAAAGAAGACTTTTAAGGTCTATCTTATCCCTATAAATTAGTCTATAAGAGTATATAGCTACTATATCTTTTACTAGTTTTACTATTAATTAAGTAGAAGTATTACTAAATATTAATAATATATTATATTTATATTTTTATTAACTATAAATTTATTATAACTATATAGAAGAGCCTATTTATAGTCTAGTATAGAATACCTATACTAAAGAAGTAGATCTACCTCTAGGCACTATTAAGAAAGGGCAAAGCATCTAGGCTACCTAACAAAGGAAAAGAGGAATAGTAAAACATAAGAAAACTACCTACACTATAATAATATCTAATAATAATTATATATATATTAATTAATAAGTCTTATAATTCTTAGACCTAATCTATAAAGATACTAAAATAAAAGTATAAATTAATAAAGTAATTATAAAAAGAGTAAATTTCCTTAAATAAATAAAAGTGTAGTAATAACTAGTAGTGTATTTCTATATAGAGTATTAAGGCTAACGATAACGACTATGTATAAGTAATTATGTCTCTCCTAATCCTTTCTTAGGTCTATAAATCCCTTTTTTAACAGGTAGGTAGCCTTCCTATTGTCCTATCCCTTGTGTTAACTACTACATAACTCTTAGGACTATGCCACCTAACCCTATTATAATACCTTTATAAAATAAAAAGGCTATAGCTTAAAGCTAGCTATTTCTACTTATAAAAAGGCCTTTTATTACCTAAAGGATACCTTTTATAAAAGTAGTAATAAATAGCTTTATAAAAAGACTATAGCTTAAGTTAAAACTTTTTATACTTAGTAATAAGGTAACTTTATAGTATTATAGTAATTATTATTTACCTTAGATATATATTTTTACTATAAAATTACTACCTTAATAAATATTATCTTAGCTAAGTATAAAAAAAGTAAGCTATATATAGGTAATATTCTTAGCTAGGCTATACTTATTAGCTTTATTTTTCTTTATTAGCCTAGCTAATCTAATTTAAAGATTATAAGTATACTTTTTTTAATTTAATGTCTTAATAAGATCTTTATCCTAGAGATTTATTATTTTAACTAGCTAAAAAAGTAGCTATATACTATTACTAAGCTTAAGGAGAATATTACTAAGCTAGCTAATATAGTTAATAGTTATAAAAGTAATATTAATAAATATAATACTAAGGCTAATATAGCTACTAAACTTACTAAGGATATTATAAAAAAGACTAATACCTTTAATATAGATATTAATAATATTATAAAAAACCTTTATAAAAAGGCTAATAAAGTATATAAACAAGAGTAGTGCCTTAAGGAACTTAAGAAGTAAATAGACTAGATAAACACTAAAATTATACTCCTTAATAAAAAGTCTAATAACCTTAATACACTAACTACTTTTAAAAGTAGCCTATTTAAAAAGTTAATAGATAAGGTTAACTAAATAGCTACTAAGCTTAATAAATAAAAGGCTATAGTTAACCTTTAGGTCCTAGCTACTTAGCCTAAGGTTATTACCCTAATAACCTAGGGTAACTAAGCTAATAAACGCTATTATAACACTAATAATAATAATATAACCTAGGTACTACTAAAGGCTAAATAATCTTAATAAAACTTTAAAGATAATAAGTAAAAAGGGTTATTATATAAGAAGAAAAGTAATTTTTATACTTTATATTTATATATACTACTATTAAGTATATTTTTCTTAGTAAAAGAGGACAAGGTCCTTTAGAGGGGGGGCACTTATTATAAAACAAGTGCCTTATATAGTAAATAAGTAAGTAAAATATAGGATTACTTTATTAGTATATATCTAGGTATATACTTAGAGGTATATATCCTATTACCTATTTCCTTTTATAAAGAAAAGTAACCTTAATAGATAACTTATATATATACCTAGCTTTTGTCCTATATTATTTATTTAGCTCTTTATTATTACTTGTCTTATTTTATTACTCTACTATTATACTTTACTTTTATACTATATTACTTTATATTACCTATTATAGCCTTACTCTTTTTATTAGATCTATAATAGTTAGTAAAAAGGCTATATTACTAGAAGTAAAGATTCTACTAAGACCTTAGTTATTTAAGACTAGGCTAAGATTTATACCTTTAGTAAGATTATAACTAAATATTATACTTAATTAAAGATATAACTTAAAGAATATTCTAGCTATTAAACTACTAAATAAGCTAAAAAGTCTAAACTTAAGTATAAATATATTCTCTTATTAAAAAGGATTATTAATAAAAATATAAATCTAAATAATTTCTTAGTTAAAAAAACTATAAGATTTAAAAAGTAAAGTTAATTATTAACTAAAAAACTTAAGCTATTTAAAATATATTACTAATTAAAAAAAGAACTATAACTTTTTTTTTATTTTTTTTAACTATTAGCTATCTAAAAATAGCTTTAGAACTACTATATAAACTAGAATATATAGTAAATAAAGAAAATAGTAATTTACTTTATTTAATAAGTTATTAATTAAAAAAAAGTTAAATAATAAAATATTAAAGAATATTTATTATTTAACTAGTAAGTAATTAGTTATTACTTATTTTAAAAAAAATAAGTACTTTAAGAAATAAAAAAAACTACTACTATAGTAAATAATAATAAATAATAAAATATAGTATTAAAAGACCTTTTATATAATACTATTATTTACTTTATTACTTATTAATTAGCTTAAAAGACTATTATTAACTAATAACTATCTTATTTTCTTTTATTATAAAAATATCTATAGTTCTTTATCTAGTTATAAAGATAAACTTTATAACTAAAGGAGTATATTATAAAGCTAAGATAGCTTTATATAGCTAGTTCTAGTTAGAGACACTATAGAGTAGCGCCTTTAACTAATAAGACCTATATTAGGAAGAGTATTTCTAGGTAAGTTTTCTCTTGTACTTAGACTTAGGAAAATTAACTACTTCTCTTTATATATGTTAGGACGCTGTAGTTTATTATAAACGCTGTAATAGTCAATACGCCTATGCATAATAACTAACGGTTTATTATTAGTATGTCCTCTATTAGTATAACGACTAAGCTGTCTTGTTACCTCTCATGCCTAACCCAACCCAAGTACTTATCCCGGACCACTAAATCACCAGAGACATAAGCATCAGGGCAATCTTCAGCCTCCTTCTTGAGGAGATTAACAGAGCATTTAAAGAAAGTGCATGTTGCGTATTTATCGGTTATAACTGTATACCAAAAGATAACCTAAGACCAACGAGATGATAATATCAAACTAAAGACATAAATTTAGATCCATCGTCCTTATTGAGAATACGACTCCAGTAATCCTGTGGTATTCTTTACTTTAAAGTTCGGCATAGCTTCTAGGTTCTGCACACTTAGAAAGCTACCTTGGCAGGAAATGCTGAGGCCGGACAATGTGGTTGAATCCAAATCATTTAGCGGTCTCAGCGCGCTTGTCAAGGACGTCGCCAGCCAAGTGGAAGTACTGCTTAGCAGCCTCAGGCTCAGGCTCACGCTTGTCAAGCACATCGCCAGCTAAGTGGAAGTATTGCTTGGCAGCCTCAGAGTTGCGCTTGTCGAGGACGTCGCCAGCTAAGTGAAAGTACTGCTTGGCAGCCTCAGGGTTGCGCTTGTCAAGGACGTTGCCAGCCAAGTGGAAGTACTGCTTGGCAGCCTCAGGGTTGCGCTTGTCAAGCACGTCGGCAGCCAAGTGGAAGTACTGCTTGGCAGCCTCAGGGTTGCGCTTGTCAAGGACGTCGCCAGCCAAGTGGAAGTACTGCTTGGCAGCCTCAGGGTTGCGCTTCTCAGCTGAAGACAGCGGCGCAGCGACCACCATGGGGCTGAGGACCAGGATAGCAGCAGTGTTTGCGAACTTCATCTTGACGATTGGCCTTTGTGCTTGGTAGACTGGTAGGATTCTGATGAATGTAAAACTCGGATGAGTGGTTGTGAAGAGTAGCTTGATGAGAGTATCTTGAGTGGATGTGTTCTGGTTGATCTTCTGTGGTGATGAGTTAGAATATACAATCATGGCTGGATAACACTACGGACTTTATACCTCGGAACTCTATCACATTCCCCCTCTTCAGAACACATGTAAAATAAGAACATCACCGCGCAGTCTGTATTCAACTGCCCCATGCTGAATGCGCGTAAGCATGTGCCTAGCTCAGTCATCGTACGGTTTGGTGTTTTCATCTATGAAATCGTAGTATACTGATTACGCCCATATCGTCATGGGCTCCAACATTTGACGTGGTTTGCGGGCCCGACCACGCTGTAATCATCGCAGTGATCAACGGTGTTTCTGACTGTCAGATCTGATGATGCGGAATGTTCTCTTGTACGAGCGCGATAAGGATCACGCTCACAAGACTTATGACTCATTTGCTTCTGATAAATGCACGTAATGTTGTGATAGAACATTTCCACTGCGGCATTGCGCCTTCGCGTAAGCCTAGACCGGCACGCTTACTCTTGAAGCCAGAGCTGCACAGCAAAGAATAATAAACAACAAAAAAGAAAAAAAAGTAAGTCATGAAAATTGGGCATTAAGTTTCAAGCTTAGGTGATCTAGCACTGCTGAAAGCCATGTCAGTGGCTATTGGGGGTAAACGTGTGCATGAAGGTGGGCAGGAACTTATGCTCACCTGTCATCTCACCCGTAATCTCACACACCGCTTAGGTATACACAGAGATAATCAATCGGAATCGTTCTTAGCAAATCTCATGCACATCGAATTACATAATTATATGCACAGATCTTGAGTCAAAAGACTTGAGCTTCATATACATATCTTATTGTTCTCCTAATGTGTAGCAGCTTGACCAAAACATTCGTCCACTTGATTATTCGAATTGATACACACGAGTAATTGTCGAACATCGTTCCTTGTTATTGATAATTAAGCCCTCTTACACTTTCAGTCTGTTGTTATCATAGTCCAACACACTGCTGCCGTTTATCATCCAGTGCCCTGCTCACGATGGCTTCTCTCGGTCGAGCAGAGAAACTTGGGCTGAGATTGTCAGATGAGTCGGAAGCAACTTTTGGGGAGACGCAAGAGTTTTTGCCAAGAGGAACCGAGAATTCTCCGACGTCTTCTACTCGATACCGACATCGGAAAGGATTTGGATTCTTTTTTTGGGTAGCGACATGCATCAATGCAATACTATTGCTGCTCTCTGCTATTTGTGCCTTGTCTGCTATCCAGTGGAAGAACACGATTCAGAAAAATCACGACAATTCACTGCTGCGATTGACCAGCTGGTACTGTAAGTTGAGAGTCTTAAAATACTTAGAGAAACTTTCTGATATCGCTATAGCACCGGTTTTCGACCAGACCCAAATAGACATTGTCGAAAAGAGAGTTAATGGCTCACTTTTGAACTTGGACAATAGCATATTCAGGGCGCCACCATCTCCAGAGGTCGACGCAGCTTGGGAGCGCATCGGTAGCTTGATGCCGCACGTGATAAGTACGGAGGACGTTATCAGACTCAGAAAAGACCCTTCAAAAACCGCAAGATATCCCGAAGATTGGGGATTAGGGCCTGATGCCCACGTGGCTGAGCTGGATATTTTACACACGATCCACTGTCTCAATGCAATACGACGAGACGTTCATTGGCGCCATTATTTCGTTGACGATTACCCGGACGGCAACTTACCAGAGCTTCATCGCGTTCACACTGATCACTGCATTTACATCGTATTACAGAACCTGATGTGTGGAGCAACTCCTGACCTCATTACGCAGCCCTGGGTCGATGGCCAGCTACATCCCTTTCCCGACTTCAACATCAACAAGAAGTGCAACGACTTCGATTCAATACTTGCATGGCATGAAGACACTATGATTACGGACTCGGCGCGATTCGCTACGATGCGCATACCCTCGGGACAAACTCCCTTACCCATGTCAGACGAGTTCCATCGTATGTTCGGATTAGACTCTCATAGCACAGGTGGCCATGATCATGGAAATCATAAGCGGTTTGCGTATTGACGGTAGCGTATCGCGTATTGACGGTACCGGAGGGGCTTGGAATCTTCGTGTATTACAGAAAAGAATATTGACAGGAAACTGTCTATGAACCGTCCCTCACAGGACTCTGTAGGCTGTGATAAGAATGATGCGAGAGTGCCATGGTTTCAACTTTAATGGTTCACACTATGCTTCAAAGTACTATCGGTTAGGTTGTAATAATTTGTTGATTATTATTGAGGCGTCTAACAAGTATAAGACATACTAGATTACCCCAATAACGGCTATTGCAAGAATAAGAACAATCAACAGTTGCAAAAAAATATTTACTATACCGGCATAAAAAGATGACGACAAAAGATGCGCTGAAGCTGGGTGTGCAGCGCGGTCCAGGCAGGGTTTGAAACAACACTGGCCAGGTTTTGTATCGGAATACTTACACAACCAAAAGATATGACCCGTGACTATGAAAACCGCTACTGCAACTACGGTGGCGGCTCCATGGCTGATCTAACTGTGTTAGCCTGGTCCAATGAGTTCTTTTGAAAACGCTGTAGACAGACAAGAAACAGAGGGCACATGTAAGAATACAAACGCGGATTTTCAATACTTTTAACGTTAGCGCCAAAGCTTTAATAGGGTAAGATATCAATATTTTAACTAATGAACTAAGATGTATTCTTATCAAGTCACATTGCTTGCATGAAAACATAATTGCTGCAAGCATTACAATTCGCCCCCATTCATGACATGCCAAGGGGTTGTTCTCGAGCATTGAGACAAAAATAAGCTTTCGGGAGTCTGAAATTTAGAAACTTGTGGCTAATCTTGTCAGCTTGCCGAGGAGTCGCGGGCGAGGAAAGATCTGCTTTCCTCGTCGTCATCAACGTGCTTATCAGGCAAGCCTCCCGACCCAGCCCGGGAGAGTGCGATTGACGCCAATCCACAGATGATGAAGGACATGACGTAAGGCATTCCTTTCCAAATTCCGTCAAGTCTCAAACTCCAGCTGAAGGTTTTAGCAACGATAGGGCCTGCAAGCAAGGAGCCCAGTGTGTCCATCATGGAAAGCGTTGTAAACAGCGTTCCAACCATGTCCTTTTCAATCAGGGAGCTAAGCAGTGATCTAGCAAAAGAGCTAAACCCATTTCCAAGAGTATAAAACGCCAGACCTAGATACACGTTTTAGTCATCTTGCTAATAGAGACTTTAGGTGAGTGGACTTACCAATAACAACAACTGAAAGGTTTGGAGCCAGGACTAAAATTGCAAAGCATATCATTATAAATGCGATGCTAAGTCGTGAAAGCAAAAAGTCCTTTACTCTTGCAGAAAGGCCTAGTTTTTTAGAAACGAAAAGGTCTAAAAGAGGCAAGATGGCGATGAAGGTAACAAGCTGTGCAAAAGCCCGGACCGACAGAAGAATGCTGGCCTGGTAGGGTTTAGTCAAATGAGGACATCGAGGAGATATTAATGGAACAAATTACCTTGGCAATAGGTATGCTGTACCTAGTTGACAAATACTGTAACAGAACGCCCAGCGATTGTCGTGAGAAGTCAACCACTAGAAATGTTAAAACTAGGAACAAGACGCTTCGATGGCTGGCGATGAATTTGAGAGTCTTGTATACATGCTCGAGCAGTCTTCGAAGTGTCCTTTGGAGACTTAGATCGTCGGAGAGGTCTTCATGTTCCGATTCAATTGCCCCTCCTTCGCGACGATGGAGAGTTTCTGGGATCGTTCCAGCGAGGATAGAAGTGATGACCGTGCAACCTGTTGACCTGTGTTAAAAAAAGGATTCCATAAACGGGAGAGTGCTGTTCTTACCCAATCCCAGGAGTAAAGGAAGCCATAGGCTGTTGGTCATTAAGAGAGATCCTGTCGCTGGGCCAACGAGTTCCGCCACAATTAGAGCCGCCTGGGCGTAGAAGAAAATGTTCGACCTGACCGAGTGTCAGCATACAAGGACGTAGCATTCTTATGGATCTTTACTTACCTATACTTTTCAGGTGATGCATCTGTGATAATCATCATAGACACAGCACCAGTTACGGTACTCCCGCCCCCAATAACGAGAAAAGCCGAGGACAGCCAAATAAGTTTGAGGGGGAACTCCGCCCAACCTGCGAATTGCGTCAGTCACCCAAACAATGGCACGATGCACCGTGTCACCTACAGATGAAGAGAACCCAGCAAGCGCCCAAGACTTGGCCAACAAGGCTGAGGAACAGAACTCGTCTCCGGCCCTGCTTGTCGGCAAGAACGCCAAACCAAATAGCCAGTACCAAGCCGGGAATGCCGTCGAAGAATGTTTGCCAACCAAATAGTTCCGCCACAACATCTTGAACGGCAGGGTCTTTACACATTTCTTCGGAGGGCCTGCCAACAAGGCCAGTGCTGTTGACTTTGTAATACTGTCGACAAACGATGTTCTCGAATAGCTGCGTTTGAGGAGCTAGAGACATGCCGTAACCGAGGCCATCAATGAACAACATCATGGCAACCATGACGATAGGTCTCCAAGAAACGTGATTTGCATCTTCGGCTTCGTATTCACGCGCGAACCCCTCAGTCGTGCGTCTCCTACTTGCACAACCCATTTTGATGCTGAGACTGTCAAATTGAGGGTATTTACAAGGGCGGGTGGAGGTTATTTCGTAGTGGCAAGAGTTGTTGTGAGATGTAGGAGTGATGGCCTGATCAGCGTATGTTGGCGGACGCTTGCAATAAAAGCGAAGGCGGCAGCTGTCTTGGCGACCTGAATGCTGGTGTAACGTGGGCCCTGATCGCTCGCTCGCTCACTTGTGCTAAGCGAGATGATAATGCATGGTCAGCTGACGCTGCATGTTGTTCTACTCATTTATTGGTAGGTAATCAATGATAAGTGGTCAGGTATTGTCAGGGTGATGGACTCTTCACTTGTCACAACAGCTCCATATAGAAAGACATAAAACTTTTGAATGACGGTAATTAAAAACAATATGGGAATGGGCATATCACTGCAGCATATCAAGGACAGCAAGTCGCCGAATACAAAAATAATTACCATCACCCTCCCAGCAGAAATGTCATCCATACCGTCACGTCGGCTAGAGACAATCTTGGCATGCTATCTCCATGCCAGTAATCAGAAGGCCACCGTCGAAACACGTTTCACTCATAGACTCAGCATATGCGACGCCTGGGCAATACCGCAAGGATCAAAGCTTTTGGACATCGGCTGTGGTCAGGGAGAATCAACCCTCGTACTCGCGGAAGCTGTAGGCTCGACAGGTAGCGTCACAGGAGTCGACAGTGCGCCTCCTGACTATGGCGGTCCTTACACTGTTGGTCAGGCCCAGGCACACATCCTGGCTTCAGTGCTTGGCCATCGAATCACTTTTGAATGCGCCGATACAACGCAATGGTTACATGAACGCAAGAGAACGTTCCTAGAATCGTCCTCTAATGCCCCTTCCCGCTCGGATCAGGCCTCTGCATCGTCCTGGACTAGAGCAGCTGAGGCCAGGCTTGGAGAGCACAACACGATCGAATTTGACGGCGCGGTCTTCTGCCACAGCCTTTGGTATTTTCCGTCAACTAATGCTGTACGCGAGCTTCTGGAGACCATGGCTGCTGCCAAAGTTTCGCGCATCTATGTAGCGGAATGGAGCGGGCAGGCCCGAACGGCAGCGCAGAAGCCTCACGCGCTGGCGGCCGAAGCGGAGATGAAGTTATATTCTCTCCGATCTGCGCACTACGTACCCCGGCTTGACGAGCAGAACGTGCGTGGCGGGGCTTTATTCCCGGACGACTTGGTGGCCCGGGCGGGACAGGCTGGGTGGAGTGTTGCCGGAAGGGGCTTGGTATCAACACCATTAGCTATGAGGGATGGGTACTGGGAAGCCCAGTATGTGCTGCGCGGCAGATTCGAGGATGATGTAGACGCGGTGGTGAAAGATGCCACTGCGAAATGTGAGTTGCTAGGATATCGGAACAAGATCGCGTCAGCTGTAGAGGCATTAGAGGCGAATGGCGGCAGCGTGGAATGTATGGACACTGCATGGATAGTACTGGAGAAATACTAAGTCAGATTGCCTATTTTTACCAAGAAACTATAAGTCCTATTCCTGTCCTGCTTACAGCTAGCTCTGTGCGCATGTTCCTGTGTAGATGCAAAAGCGGAAACACGATACACAGGCGACCTCGAAACAATCGCTTTGCTGTGGGACTGCAAGGTCTAGGTACAGGCTTGTTGTGTCGATAAGCGTCAGCATTGAAGGGTCACCATGCAGAGTAAGCTTGCACCATCAATCCAACGCTCTTCATCATAGGTCACTAGCTGCATTTTGTCAGGGGTAGGTAAAGTGTAAGCTCACAGCAAGTGAGTTCATAGACAGTGATCTCGGCCGCTGATGGTTGTTCTGGTTTGCAATGCCTATGAGCCCGGATTAATAGTTTTTCGAACGAAACCATCGCTAGCAACTTGACAGGTTATAAATCAAAATAAACGTGTGTCTTCTTCACGACCAGTGGGTGAACGGCACAAAGACGAAGAAACGGTACTAGCAACAAGCATATCATCGCCATGCCCCAGCAGCAGCAGCAACAGGGACTTGCTCCCACCCGACAATGGCCTTGGTTGCGCAACTTGCACTACACCCCATTTCTCACAGGCTCATTTATCCTTCTTCTCCTTCTCCAGCTTGTACACTCTGCTGTTGCTGAAACATCTCAATACTGCCGATTTGGGCACGACGACGGTGAAGTCGATTTCTGCGTTGGCGTCAGCATATTCCACAACCACTCGAGAGCCTCACATGACCTCTATCTAAGACTTCATGTGACTCAATCCTCATCTGGCAAAGGCTGGAACGCCATTGGCTCCGGCCCAACCATGGCTGGCGCACTCATGTTCATAGTGTATGGCGACCCGCTGTCAGGGAGAGATCCGACAGTCAGCGTCCGTACCGTGACCAGCAACAGCCATCAATCCCCACGGCCAGTAAAAGCCGTAGACACCGGGCTTGCGAATGTCCGACTCATGCAATCCGAGTGGCTTCGGACCAAGGGAGCAGATGAAGCCGATGTCTTTGTAGCTTCTGTTGCCGCCGTCTGCTACGGGTGTTCGCGCTGGCCAGGGTCGCCTATCGACGTCTCGGACACCTCTCACCCGTGGATCTGGGCGTGGAACGACCGCCAGCATATGTCCCGAGCTGACTATGCCGTGGATGCCGGTATGGAGGTTCATAACTTTGGGGCGGGTGGGTGGGGGCTTTTTTACATCGACATGCAGCGCTCGACAGGCCACAGTGCCTCCTCGCCTCAAATCCAGCCGGGCGTGGCGGCTATTGGAGCCTCGACGTTTCCTCGAGAGACATCAACGTTTCTTTCGAACGCAGAGAATGCATCCTCAGGAATAACGTCTTTGCTCGTTGCTCTTGGAAGGTTTGGCCTTGGCCTCGGTCTTGGCCATCTCCATGCATTTTTCATGACCACAGCGTTTTTGTTTCTTTTTCCTATGGGTGTGGCAGCTATTGCACTAGGCTCATCCAGTTCATTCCGGTACCATTGGGTCTTGCAAACACTGGCATCATCTTTGGCAGTCATTGGCGCAATCGTCGGAGTGATAATAAGTCACAGGCAGCCCTTCTGGACCTCTCACCAAGTAGCTGGGATTGTTATCCTACTATTGATCCTAATGCAGGCGGTACTGGGACTGAGGCATCATTTCGTCTTTCTTCGTATCAGACAGCGAAGTTGGGTGTCTCACGCGCATATCTGGTCAGGCCGGTTTATACTAGTTAGCGGTCTTGGTAACATCGTCAGCGGTATGGCGATGGCTGGACATGCGACTGGCGCAGGCATCTGGCTGGTACTCGTCTTCATGTTGCTGGGCGCAGCATCGCTTGCGCTGTGGATTTGTATCGCCAGGAGAAGGTCAAGAATGGCGTCTCCAGGCTTTCCGGAAAATGCAACAGGAGCGGCAGCGTGGAGACTTGTAGACGCCTCAAACTTTGGCTTATGCGACGATAGTGACGGGGAAAGCCCGGAAGACAGCAAAGATGAAGCGATACGGGCCTGAAAGTCCACGTCAAAGGCAATAACACATACCGAGAATGATTTCATGGAAAGAATGATAGATTGAAAGATGACGGAATTGAAGACAAGCTGTCGAGAGCAATAATGATAGTCGCTAGTTACATACATATATATACGTTTGACTAATGAACTAAACACGTGATAATGGGCGGAACATGTCGAGGATAGTCTGATGAAACCCAAGATTTTTCTGATAGCATTAGCATCTCATTACTCTCGGTAGCTTACGGTCAACCACGGCTCTTGCTGGACAGGCTGTGTGCGCTCTCAGACACAAGACCGCATGCCAGTTAATTTAAATTATCTGGAACGACGCTCTACCCTCTCGCTGCCTTGTGAATTGACTTGTGGAAGAGCGCTTCGACGTTGGTCAATGTTGATTTTAATTCGTCGTTAGGGCTTATTAGCTGCATGTCAACGCCAAAGTCGTAAAGTCTGTCCAGGTCGTGAACTATGCGATCGACCTTGCTAAGTATAAGTTTGTGTGTCTTGGGCAAAGAAGGTCTTCGGTTTCTAGGCGCCCATTCATGGGTCAGCATTGTGTTAGTGTTGATATTCAACAGTCAAAATTTCAAATTTGTGCTGACCTACTGGGCCAGAGACGCTTGGCGTGTGTTGATAGACATAATTGTCGGATCGTGAGCGATGAGCCGAATAGGGCGGCCTGCTCAACGCGTCGATATCGTCGACAGTTTTGTTGGCACATGCTGATGGTGACGCCGCGATGGTCCAATCTGAATCTTGGAAAAGCTCATTGAAGTCAACGTCTAATGAATCATGGCTCTCCGCCCCAGCTTGCAGTTCAGCGGAGTTGGCATTAGCAAACTCGGGGACGCGGTTATGATCATCGCTGTTGGTGTCATGGTTTGACGTATCGGCTCCTCGTTGTTTTTGCTTCTGTCCTATGAAGGAAGAAAACAAATCACATCAGTAACCTTTTTTCCCCCTCCGTTTGAGGCCTTCCTGTCAGGTCTGGCCAACTGTTGAACTCACTGTAGCGTCGCTGGGCTTCCCTATTCTGGATCTTCCGTCGAGCTTCGTACTCAGATAGTTCCATTGCAGGGCGCAGGCCACAGAAGATGCGGAGAAGCCGGAGAACTGGAGAAACAAGGGTTATCCTGGGCACAGTCGGCTGGGACCGTGGGAGGGGCCACGGGAGAGCTGGGATGGAATGCATTACATATATGCTAGCTTCACTGCGCCAAGGACAGAATCAACAATGGGTGGAAGCAAAAACAATTCTGAGAGCCTGGTTTTGACATTTCCGGCTATATGACGAAATCTCGCTTCCCTATGACGTAAAACTGTTAAGTCTTCAGGCTGTTGGAAACTGGTGACTCTATCCAACAGGACCAAAAGCACCAAAAGGACCAATAGGCATACCCTGGTCGTATGTGAAAAAGGTCACATCCCTGGCTCCATGGCTACCGGTACTGCTCCCCACGCCCATCACTTTCCGAGAATGGCGGGTGCATATGTGAGCACCTCGTGCCCCCAACTCTCAAATGTGGTGTTCAGGACGGGGCTGTTATCGTGGGGCCTCGATCTGCTGCTCTGACATCGAGACCAGAGATTAGAAGACCTGGACTTGGACCCAGACTCGACTTCTTACTCTGGCATGTCTGTGGCCCATAGCTGGTACGGGGCACATCTCCCATATCCCGAGTGCGTTTCAACAGCTGTTGGGTGCTTCGTCGAATTCCAAGGGGGGGAAAGCAAGATGCGATTGCAATGGTGAACGTGCTTGTACGAAAGCCACTCGTCCAGCATGGGCTTCTGCTGCTGTAAGGCTCGCGCCGAAACCTCCCAGACGTAGGCGCAATGACGACGGTGGTAGTCGTCAACCATGAAGGCTACCTGATGCTCCCCGCGCCTCATAACCTCATCTGGCATCTCGTACTTGGCGTCAATGTCGTAATACCACTTCCAGTTGTAGGTGGAGAGATACATCTCCGAGTGCTCTTCGTCGTAACATGCAGCCGGGACCCACTGTTGGATCATGGTATCGTATCTGCACCCATTGCTTCTCGCCTGTGCCGGCGATTCACCACAGTCGTCAATTAGCCTGACTTCGCTAACGGCGGTCGCGGCACCCTTCATGGCCATTCTCGTTGCTGTTGAACCAACGAAGAAGCCGAATAAAGAGGCCACCGCCAGAATAACGGCAGCTATCGTGGCAATCGCGCATGAGGAGAGGTGCGGCCTCAAATGCAACCTCGAAGCCGTGGGCTGATCGCGTACCTTCTTATCTGTTGTCGCGTGGCATTCCGTCTGCAATGCCCCTTCACTTCCAGGCACATTGTTGTACTTGTAGTCCATTCTGGCTACAATGCCTTGTCGCGATTCAGCGGAACTGGTTGTATTGATTCGGTTGAGCAGCCACCGATGGGGCTTTCAAGGGGCAAGGGGGGTCGGCTCTCCGTATTCGTCGGTTTCGTGGTGGCCTAGACGTGACTGTTGGTTCGCCGTCGATTCGCATACGCCCTTGTATCTCCTGCGATAAAACAGGAACTTTCTCTGGATTTATTGCCACACGTTGAATGGCAAGGATACTGATCTCTGACAAAACTGCTGGCGGGCCGCTTTCTTGTTAGGCAGTAGGTATTATCTAGAAGAAAGGCATAATTTAATCATTTGCCGTCATCTCAGCCATGAGCCTCCGATACACGATATCGAATTGCTCTAGTCACCGGCTGATTCCACGCGTTCTTGCCACTGGACCCTTTTCCTGATGGATTAATAGGCTCAGACGCCGGGTAAGCTGACCTTGCCGCTGCGCCGCAATAGTTTTCAATGGTATTTTGCTTGCCACCTTCTTCATCTAGTTAAACCTCCGGATGCTTGGGGCGCTATTAACGCTTCATTGGGTAGAGAAAACAATTCTGATTGGAAAAGTTTATTGCAGTCAGAAACATTCCTCACTCGAAATTGGTACTCGAACACGTCGAACAATGTCTAAGTACCCCGTCGGAAGGTTACTTGTGCGCCCCTTATCTACTCATCGCTCTATCTTCCCTTCAATCGTCTCGGCGTGGTTCCTCTTCTCTTCGTTTCGACAAGCAGACACGACTCTATGGCCATACCATCTATACACAATGGAATGTTCAATCGAGGCCGATCGTGTCTTTGGGCCCGCTGTTCAGGGTTGCCGTTCCGATTTTGATTTCACGCTCTTGTTCCACGACTCCATCTTGACCATTTTACCCTCGGCTGTGTTAATCATCTTGGCATCTATCCAAATTACAATACTTGTTTATCGGCCCACCTTTGCACGCCTCGACCGTCGGTACTATTCCAAGCTGGTGAGTAACGCGTAGTTTCTCGAGTAGAAGGGTGAGATTGGCCTCAAATTAACACCGTGTAGGCCGTCGCCTTTGTATCAGCTGCTTTGCAATTGGCTCTACTCATCCAACGATGCCTTACAGAAGACATCAAAACGGCTGCATCAGTCCCAGCAGCCGTTCTTGGATTCGCCGCTGCTTGCGCTCTCTGCCTTCTCTCCCCTATCGAGCATAGAAAATCATGTCGCCCCTCATCCTTGATCATGGCTTACTTATTTACTGCCATCTTGACCGAAGTCGCCCGCGCAAGGACATACTTTCTCATGGGTCAAACCGTCGGCGCCGCTATTACTACTACCGACTGCCTTGTAAAGGTTCTTCTCGCCGTACTGGAAGGGAAGAAAAAGGTGCTTGACAGGTATTCGGATAGCAAAGGGCCGGAAGATCTCGCAGGACCTATCAGTCAGAGTTTCCTCCTTTGGCTGAATAGCCTTTTCCTCACTGGCTATAGACGTGCCTTTACGGCCCGAGATATGGGTATGATCAGCAGCCCTCTGTACACCCATAGTATTCTTTACAGGTTCAGAAGTGTAGCAAAAGGTCACATCGGTAAGCTATATCCCACCTTTTACCAAAACGATCAACTTTCTGACCTGATAGCCCGTTCCGGCAATGGCTTTGCTCTTCAGACGTTCACCTCGCTGGGATGGCACGCGCTTGCTCCAGTGATGCCGAGATTAGCGGTGACCGGTTTCACATTTGCCCAATCTTTCTTAGTCACAGCTCTGCTGAACTACCTGGAGAACGGGAAAAATAGACCGGCGAGCCATGGGTACGGTCTTCTTGGGGCCTGCGTATTTGTATACATCGGCATAGCTGTGAGGCAAGCCCTGTCCCTTAGCTGTTATGACTGGCTAACCTCTTTCAAGGTTTCGAACAGCTGGTATTGGCGCTTGACCTACAAGTCTGTTTCGATTGTGCGTGGCGGCTTAGTTGTGGCCATATTCGAAAAGGTGCTACGGCTACCCGAACATGACGGGATAGAGTCCAAGGCAAACACACTGATGATCTCAGATGCACAGCGCATCGTTAGTGGCCTGGCCTTTATCCATGAACTGTGGGCGGGCATATTGGAGACAGCATTGGCAACGTATCTGCTGCAGCGAATCATGGGCGTTTCTTCGATGGCCATGCTTGGACTCGCACTCGGTAAGTAATGAATTGTCTTTTTTTCTTGATTGGAATATAGCTGATCACCTTTATGGGGTAGCTTGTGGTGTGTTGTCATCCGTCGTGGCCAACAAAATCAGTTTGCAGCAACAAAAGTGGCTGAGAGCTATGGAACAGCGCATCAAAGCAACCAAACGACTCCTTGATTCTCTCAAAGCTGTAAAGATGCGTGGGGCAGAAGACAGAGTCAGCGAGGTAGTCAATGAACTGAGAAGGCTGGAAATACGAGCAGCAAGGCTATTTCGTGCTCTCATTACTGCTTCTGTTTTTCTCTGTGAGTCCCCAACCTGCATTTCCAACCCTGAGCTAAGATGAAGGTAGCTTACAGCACCGTGACGCTTTCGCCACTCCTCGTTTTTGCGGCTTACATCGGCATCAAAGGCGAAAGCAGTAATCTAGACTCGGCAACGATGTTCTCTTCTCTTGTCCTTATTGCGCTTCTTGGGGCTCCTTTAATCCACCTGTTTCAAGCTATGCCGGCTCTTGGTGCAGCTCAAGGATGTTTTATGCGAATTCATGCGTTCCTCGAGACTCCAGAGGGGCTTCAATCTACAACAAGCAGTGTACCGAACAGGAAGTTTCATGACTCCGACAGCAAAGCGTTGCCCGCCACCGCGGGTGACGGTAGAAATGCCATATCCATCCGAAACGTTTCCTTGGGATGGTCTCCTGGAAACATCTTACTCAAAGACATCCACCTTGAGGTGAAGCGCGGCTCTGTCGTTGCCCTACTTGGCAAAACCGGGTCCGGCAAGTCACTTCTCCTGAAATCAATCATCGGAGAGGTAAAATCCATCCTTGGCATCATTGATGTGTCCCGTGAGAACATTGCATACTGCAGCCAAGCACCCTGGCTGGAGAACATGTCAGCTGAGCAGACTTGGACCCAGTACGGAGGGCAGGATACAGAGTGGCTCGCAGAGGTCATTGACGCCTGCTTTCTGGACGACCTCACGAGCTTGCCTGACTACAAAACTGGTTACATCGGTAGCGGCGGAGTCCGTCTCAGTGGGGGACAACGCCAGCGGTTGGTAAGTCTATATCTATCTGCACAATGGTGAAATATCAGAAGCTTATCACTTTTGCTTTCAGGCGTTAGCTAGATCAATCGTACTTCGAAAAGAAGTCGTCTTGTTGGATGATGTGTTTAGTGCACTGGACCGTACCACGAGACGGCAAATATCAACACGGCTTCTGGGTCCTCGCGGGCTTCTGCGGCGACTGGGAACAACAGTGTTATTCACGGCCCATGATGGTAAGTGGATTAACTGTGGCGTAGCATATGTCTTCAGCGGCTGATACATACTACTTACTGCAGCCTCGATAACAACTTTGGCCGATGAAGTATACGAAATTTCCGCCGATGGAGGACTTGCATCAATCCCCATACAGAAATCGACCAACAGCGAAAAGACAGAAGATCATATCGATAAACTAGCGCATATTAACGATACAGATACGGATGGAAAGAATAGAATATCGTCCGGAGCGGCTGCTACCAATGGCGCACAAGAGATTGAAAATGTGGAAAGTAAAGCAGAGAAGCTTGTGTCAGACAGGCAAGTATACATAAGATACGCACAAGCCATGGGTTTCAAGAACGCCGGAATATTCTTGTTTTTAGTTATCAGCTTCGCTGTATGCCTCAAACTTCCAGGTATGTCAATATGTGGACCTGAGGACTCGGCTCTCAAGCATTTCGCCTCGGACGGTCGATCACGTCAGAACTAATAAATGGTTACAGATCTTTGGGTACAATGGTGGGCATCCGCTCTTCAGCAAGGCGACAGGCGTGGCAATGACTACTGGATCGGCATGTTCGCAGTGCTAGAAGTGTTGCCTCTTTTGGTATTATGCGTTTGCGTCTTGTAAGATCGAACGATTCGCACCCTTAGGGTCTCATATTCACTAACACTGTCCGACAGTCATCTGATGTTTTGTATAGTACCCACATCAGCTTCATCACTGCATGCTAGTCTTCTTCGGACAGTCCTCGTTGCGCCGTTTGCATTTATCAGTCGCATCGACACGGGAAGTTTGATGAATCGCTTCAACCAGGACTTGATGTTCGTAGACACAATGTTGCCTTTGGATCTATTCAACACCTGCGCCGAACTATTTACGTCCACGTTCCAGTTGGTGCTAGTTGCCATAGTCTCCAAGCACGCACTTGCCGTGCTCCCTGTCATATCCGCCGTGCTTTATTCAATTCAACGGGTCTATCTTCGATCATCCAAGCAGCTCCGTCTGCTGGATCTAGACTCCAAAGCAGATCTACACACCAAATTTGGCGAGACAGCTTCTGGACTTTCCGTCATCCGCGCCAACGGCTGGACCAGTTCGATGCGAGAAAAGTTTATGGAAAAGTTGGACAGATCCCAGGAGCCATTCCATCTGCTCTATATGGTACAAAGATGGCTTCAACTCGTTCTGAACCTGGTGGTAGGGGCGCTCGCCATAACGGTCGCTGGTGTGGCCATTGGGTTGAGAGACAAAATTGCTGCTGGAGCCGTGGGTGTGGCCTTTTTGAACACTACAACCCTTGGCGAGACCCTCACAAACTTCATCATCTCCTGGACGTCACTAGAGACCTCACTTGGAGCCATTTCGCGTCTTGGCATGTTTGAGCGAGATACGCCGAGCGAGAATCACAACCAGTCCGATGTGGATGTGCCCGATGAGTGGCCCGGTTTAGGAGAGGTCAAGTTTGAGAATGTGTGGGCCACTTACGATAACGGCGACAATGCTTCCAGTTGGAGACTAAGCGGTGTGACTCTTACTGTGCAGCCAGGCGAGCGAATTGCTGTGTGCGGGCGTACAGGCTCAGGGAAATCAACGCTATTTCTAGCCCTGTTGGGAATGCTGCATGTGCCTGTCGGCAGTATTTCTGTAGACGGTATCGATATAACTGACCAGAATATGGCCCTTCTGCGTCGTCGCTTTCAAGTTGTTTCCCAGGACAGCTTCTTCGAACCGACGTCGACTTTCCGGCAGGAGCTCGACCCCAGCGGAGGAATTACCGACGGAGAGATGGAGAGCACACTCCGGGGACTTTGTGTGTGGGACGTCATCGCGACTGCCGGTGGCCTTAACAGCAAGAGGGCAAACGCAAAGATTTCAGCTGGCGAGGCCCAGCTCCTATCTATCGCCAGACTTCTGCTCCAAAACCATACGGGAACCGGTAATATTATCCTACTGGATGAAGCAACAAGCAAGTGAGTAAAGCCGGTGTATCTCACACTAGTTCATGGAATCCCGCTGATAGCTGTAATCTTTGTAACGCAGCCTCGATCAGGAGACTGAAGCGCACGCCGAAACAGTCATGGCTGCGAGACTGCAACATGCAACCGTCATTTCAATCATGCACCGATTGGAAGCGGTCGTGGCATATGACAAGATTGCTGTTCTTGATAAAGGTGTTTTGGTAGACTTTGGGGCCGTCGTTGATGTCATGGAGAGATGCGAACTTTTCAATTAGTGAGTAGGTGGCTCGAGTGCAGTCTGCAATGGCTTTTGCTAGTGCTATGTAATATTAGTCTCAGGTGTTTAGGACTTGCGTAGGATAGAAATACCCCTACTGTACCTAGTCTTCTAGAATCTATTAATACTTAGTAACCTTCCCTCCTACACACTTGTCTTGGTATACATTGTTAGTGTAGGCCACCTTGATTATAGTACAGCAACTAATAACTACCTCTCTATATTAAATTTCTTCTTATGCCCCTAGCCACAAAGGCTACTGCCCTGGGCCCCTCTGCCTAGGCCTTCTAGTCTATTATCCCTACCTAAAATCCCTTTAACTTGTTACCTTCTTATAATTAGTATCCTTAATATATACGTCTAGCAAGTTGTCTATTATAGTAAACTGCCTACTTTTCCTTAATTCTAGAACTTTTCTCTTTATAAGTAGATTCCTCTACGTATAAACATAGATGCTGCCTTAATTAAAAGGTATATTCTCTTCACACTCTAGTCTATTTAAAAAGACCTAAAACTATCTATATAAAAGATAGCCTTTGTCTATAATGTCCCCTAAATGGTACTTTAGAAATAAAGTTATTAGGGTTACTCGATACAAACAAAATCAACCCGAGGTATCAACAATGGTTTTATTGGTTTGTTGATTGCATTGATTACGACTATGTAGTCCGCTTGTCAAAGCGGAAATGATCCAACGTGGTGTAGACCACACTCTGTTTATTGTGACCCTTGCGCCACAAGCCGTGTCAAAAATATGGCCGATATAGCGTCGACGTACTTGACTCAGGGCAGATGGAAGGAGATAGAGGAGCTGGAGGTTCAAGTGATGTAAGAGGCCGGGCGTTGTTGAATCAGAACATTACGACAGGCTGATCAGCATAGTCAACCTGAGTTCATTAGGTATGCTGTGTTGGGACCTCAATCCTTTCTGTTTACCGTACTCTCTAACGTGTATTCCTAACTTCCTCCGAAAGAGATCATTTGACCCCAAAGGTAGAGAATGAGGCTTCATACTTGGATGCTTCCTCCTCAATGAGCAATGCGTGGCCAGCACTGCGAACAGTGGTCTTCACAGGGAACGGTTCGTTGAGGGCTTGGTGGTTGAGTTTCTCGTCATTAATTGGCCCGTTCTAGATGTATTGTGTTAGTGTGCGGTCGGTTTCGGGGCGACATGAAAACAAGGGGTGGAGATGAACGAACCGGACTCATTTCGAAACAATAAAGCAGACGAGCAAATGCTATGAACAAAGCTTGCTCCGCAACTTTCCACCCGACGCAGATCCGACGGCCGCCTCCAAATCCCCAGAAGTTCGGTACCCTATCGGCTCCTAAATCCTCATTCCATCTCTCGGGCCGGAACTCATAAGCATTGTCGAACTCGCTGGACAGCCCGATCGAGTTGACCAGGAAGCATGTGCCGGAAGGTATGAAGTACCCATCGAACTCCAGGTCCTCGGTGAGCTGGTGGGGTGGAACAACGGGGACGGTCGGTCGCCAACGGAGAACTTCTTTAATCATGGCTGCGACGTAGGGCATCGCCGGTAGGTCAGCCATCCGGGGAAGCCTGAGCGAATCGCCATCTGTGCACACTCGATCAACTTCCTCGCGTGCCCGTAACTGGGCCTCGGGGCGTGTGACCATGGCCATTATGAACACATTCATCGTCATGCGCGTGTTGTCACCACCGGCCGCCATGACAGATGTGGCCAGGTACATAGCCTCTTCGTCATCCCCAGTAAACCTGACATCTGGATGGAGAAGAACGTCGCGGACGAACGAGGGCGGCGCCGACCCCTTACTCACGGCGGTCTTGATGGGGTCCCACCATTCCTGGAAGACATGGCGATGAAACGAGCCCATCTGGGCCCAGAAACGCCGCCAAGGCTGTAGGAAATGGGGGAGCTTGCTAACCGATGGGAAGAAATCCACGTAGCTCCGGTTGATGGCCGTGACGAACTCGATCGTCACCCTCTGATAGTCGTCGAGCTGCGCTTTCGTCTTGTTCAGGGGGTAGCCCATAACAATCCTGTAAAGCACGGAAGTGGCATAGCGATAGTTGTGGGCAAACCAGAGGTTAGGCTCCCGAAGATACCGCCGCAGCATGTCCATGCTCTCGAGTTCTTGCATGCCAGCATAGACCTTGAGGTTCGAGCCGCTGAGCAGTTGATGCATCACGCGGCGTCCTTCTCGCCATTCTGCTTCCTGCCGTATCACCGTGCGCTTTCCGTTGCTCACAAGATCGCTCGCGACGGGCATATGGGGTCTCTCGTTGGTGATCTTCCCACGCTTAGCTATGATTTCCGAGACCACGCGGTCCGAGTTGAGCAAAACCCACGTCTTGGATCCCATACGCAGCGTCACCATTTCGCCGTACGGTATCAAGGAAGCCAGCTAGTAGATGTTAAGATCGAGAAGCAACTCCGTGTTGAGCAGGAGTTTGAGACTCACCCACTTATTGAACAAAAGGGTTTCGCGGCGGGCTTGCATCATCTGCGGCAAGTTTCCCAAGATCGGTACGCCCGGTGGCCCTGGCGGCATTGGCCGTCTCTTTGTGCCCAGATAACATTTCAAGTCGGTAGGTTTCAGGAACTGGACGAACACTACGCCGCTGCAGCATAGAATGAGTAAGAGACCCAAATATGAGTAGTACGAATTTTCGATGGAGTACATAATGGCACCCAACAGTAGAGAGAAGGGATGGCAATAGTAATTCTGATTCGCTCGGGGTATCGAGGAAAAGAAATATCCTAGATGTTGTTCTCGCACGATACCGCTTGGGTCGGAGAGGAGTCTTCGTCGGCATGGCGAAGTTTGCTGCCCTATTTAGGGTAGGTACTTACGCCAGCTCTCTGCTGATGGCGGAGGCTCAGGCGCAGCAAGTTTGTGTGGAGTTCCGGACGCGTATATTGCCGATTCCATTCTACATCATGCAGGTGAGTCCGAATAAAGATATCAGGGCAACTAAGAACCATCAGTTCTCACCGCCTTCGTGGAGGTCATGGTGTCGACAGCCCCAGACCGTAGAGCAAACCAGTGAATGGATCAAGCAGCACAGGTACCTCATGCAACCTGTGTACAAATGAATATGCATGTGGTATGCCAAGACATGTTTGAAGTAACAGTCAATATGTCCAGCAGTAGCATCATCGGCGAGAAACCGCCGGGGAAATATGGGCTTGGGAAGCAAGCCAACTTTGCGCATCCATGATGGCCACAAAAGGTCATTCACGAGTACTAGGATTTATAGTTGCCTTGTGGTGCGTATTTCGTCTCACCTGCATCAATCTCATCCCACTGCATAAATTCAATATAGCCTGCAGAGTGCGGCACATAATATCTGTGTTACCCGTCAAGGACCATGGTGAGCTCATCGCGCATAATGTCTACATGGTCGTTTGACGTGAGAATTGCGTACCCATTGTCTTATACACAAACTAGCCAAGGACTGAAGCACACAGGCAACCCCTGTATTATGATAGTATGCGGGTTGGCTTCCCACGGGTACGTCTCTGGAGACTCATCTCCGCGCGTCCTCGCAGCAGCAGCTCGTGTTGCGGTAACCTGGTAGGAATCTCAACCCAGCTGCGCTGTTTGCCTGGGTACGCTCACCGACACTGGATGGAATGCGCGTACTTGTTGCCAGTGAAGACTTTTTATGAGGACCTCGAATCCCTGGTCTTCAGGCGGGAAGGACGCAAGCAGCAGGTACTTTCATCATTGCCTCTTTAATGTTTGGGTCCTATCTGCGCGCTTCCTTCTGAATCAATATGGCCACTTCAGCACGTACGTTCACCGGTTTGATCCTATCTCAGGGGCGCGATCCGGCCTCATCGGTCAAGGCGACAGTTGCCATTAGTGGAGGGGACCTGACCATCGCCGACGTGGTGGCAGTATCGAGACAACTAACACACGTGAAGCTCACCTCGGCAGCCATCGACTCCATCGAAGCGTGCAGCAACATCATCTCCGAGAAGATCGCCCAGGGAGAAGTCATCTACGGCGTCAACACGGGGTTTGGTGGCAGCGCCGACACGAGGTCCGGCGACGTTGAGAGGGTCCAGCAAAGCCTAATTAGCCACCTGACGTGCGGAATTGTCTCGGCCGGCGAGCAGAATCTGGCTCTGAACAGTAACGAGACTTCGAGCCAAAGCCATAGCGAGGCCCATCTAAGCAATGGCAGATCTAATAGACAACAAAAGCAACAAGCTACGTCGGTGCCAAGTCCTCTTCCGCTCAACGACTCGCTTGCTGCTACTTGCATGCCCGAGTCTTGGGCGAGGGCGTCCATGCTCATCCGCCTGAACTCCCTGGCCGGCGGTGCGTCGGGCATCCGGGTCAACATCGCGGACTCTCTGGTGGATCTCCTGAACAAGGACATCGTGCCGCGCATCCCCGTCCGCGGGAGCATCTCGGCCTCGGGAGACCTCAGCGCACTCGCATGGATCGCCGCCCTGATGCAAGGCAAGACCTCCGCTACAGCCTTTAGCGGCCCGCGAGACTTGGGGGGGGCTAGAAGAGTGACAAGGGCCGACGTCGCTCTGTCGGAGGCCGGCATCGCGCCCATCAGCCTGCACGCCAAGGAGGGCCTCGCCATCGTCAACGGCACGGCCGTGTCAGCCGGGGTTGCCGCTCTCGCGGCGCACGAGTCCCTTCACCTCGCAGCGCTATCGCAGGTGCTGACGGCGATGAGCGTCGAGGCGCTGCAGGGCAACGACGAGAGCTTCGAGCCCTTCATCGCGCGTGTGCGGCCGCACCCCGGGCAGGTGGACAGCGCGCGGAACATCAAGGCGTTCCTGGCCGGGTCAAGGCTACTCAACCGGCACGACAGCTGGAATAGTGCGACACTGCGACAAGATCGCTACTCGCTGCGTACGGCTAGCCAGTGGATCGGCCCCGTGCTGGAGGACTTTGGCCTTGCGTACGACCAGCTGACGATCGAGCTCAACTCGGTGACGGACAATCCGCTGGTCGATACAGAGGCAGGCCGTGTGCTTCACGGCGGCAACTTCCAGGCGCGTGCCGTCACGTCGGCGGCCGAGAAGTTGCGCCAAGGCCTCCAGAGTATCGGCCGCATGCTCTTCACCCAGTGCACCGAGATGATCAACCCGGCCACCAACTGGGGCCTGCCACCCAACTTATGCTCCGATGACGCCAACGACTCGTTCCTGTTCAAGGGGCTCGACGTCGTCGTTGCCGCGCTGACCTCGGAGCTGGGCTTCCTGGCCAACCCCGTCGGATCGCACGTCCAAACGGCCGAGATGGGCAACCAGGCCCTCAACTCCCTGGCGCTCGTTTCGGCCCGCTACACGCTCGAGGCCGTCGAAGTGCTGTCCCAGATCGCCTCGGCGCACCTTCTGGCGCTGTGCCAGGCCCTCGACCTGCGTACCATAGGGGTCGAGGGCCGGAACCAGGATGCCCCGCCTGACGCGACGCCGTACATCGGCCAAGCCTCGCGTCGCATGTACCGTTTCCTGCGACAGGATCTCGGCATCCCGTTCCTGGGCGAGGCTCACCTGGCTTCGACCGATGCCCCGACGCCGGACGGCGTCACGCCAAGCATGGGGCTTTACAACACCCGGGTCTTCGAGTCCATCAGGTCAGGACGTTTGTACGCCGTTGTCCTGGAGTGTCTTCAGGAAGCGGAGGCGCAACAGATCACGAATGGAAAACACATATGAGACGCTGGGGGCATGGTTCTGCGAATTCACACCGCAGACACAAAACCCCTGTCATCACGATACTGAGGGACATCAGTCCGTTCAGTACGAGGAGCTCATACGATTTACATGTGTGAGGCCTGTAGAGACATCCATTAGGTAATGAATTAGACTTCTAAATAAGACAAAGGGGAGAGCGAGTTGGCCACCCACAAAGAAGAACAGAAATACATGCAAATACCTCGCTTTGAAAGTAGAATTCCCTAGAAGAAATCATTCGGTAAGAATACCTCCTTTGTCGTACAAATGGATCCACTGCCTTGCCGGTACGAGCCTCGTTTACTACATTTGAAAATGTGAGCACTAGGGTTCCATACTTTCAATGTTCTCTCGAGGCAAATCTAGTTACCACTGGACATATGGTTCGTTAGAATCGCAAGATGAACTGGATGATTAACTGAATTCTACATGCGCCAAAGTACGTATCCAAAGCAGTCGCTCTCAAACCCGCACAGGTACACAATAATACTATTAACACAGTCGGAAAAACACAGTATGAGTAGCATGTCTAGTGTTCAACACAACATAAGGTTTAATCCTACATGTCTGCTGGACGTTCACACCGTTTACAGCCACCTTCCTAGCATATGGGTTGCATCGGAAGCCTGTATTTTGCGCCTGTAGGCCACCATGTACTGGTACTGATCTTATATGTAGCTCAGTACTTTCAGGTTAACCAGGGGGGGGGGTATTATCAGCTTGTCTAACCACCCACTTTCACCCCCCAATGCCCCTTGATCAGAGTCATATGGGAGGCAAACACCCTACGTCTTCGGCATGAGTAATGGAAGCCAAGTTCGGGGCTCAGGTCATCCCTGTTTCCATGTCACAAAGAAACAGCCTGTGAGAGGTAAGCCGTAACTGCGCAGTGGCAATTATGCAGATCCGCTTTTTCGTGACACAACCAACAAACCAACCAAACACCGGAATGTTATCGCCTTACTCAAATGGTCCTTTCCACATACGCGTTCCATGGTTCTCGAGGGACTTTTGGGGCTCGTTTTCTGACTCCTTGGCTCAGCCAGCCGGCCACATCAGAGCGGTGTTACGTCGACACATCCATGACTGGTGTACTAGCTGTGTTTGCTAATGATATGTGGGAATGTTAACGAACCTTTCGGGAATCTGCCCTTGCGATTCCCATCTTATCAACTTTACCCTTGCTACGTTTAGAACTGAGCTCCGATATGATCCCAGAGTATACGACCTGTGTGTCAGAAAAGACAAGAGAAACAAGGATTCTCGAAGACGATGAAAGGAGAACGAACGCATACGAGATATACTTGGGGCTCACTAGCAACGGCTTTTCTATAGCCTATCACCACGTGGATATGTCCATATTTTTTCGAGGGCCTTTTGAGTACATCCTTTACCAACGTGTGAAGATAGATTTCCAAAAGAATAACTGTCGTGAAGCTGGGAATAGCTTCGGTCTAGTAGCGGCCGCCACAGATGTGGCTCACCACATGCACAGACCACTTCGTATGGGCATTTCTACCCAATCTCCGGATCATACATCGTTTCTCAATAGGACAACTGCTTTTGACCTCAATGAACAGACGCTGTAGTTCATCAACATCATCATGTCACTGAATGATGTCCCGTCAGCACCCGCCTAGACCTATAGACCCTATGCTCCCGTTTGTTATGGATAAGCGTGTTACCTGCTGTAAAATTCTTCTTTTGCTCTCTCTTTCATCGAATGCATTAATTGTATGGAATATCTCCGGGTACATCGGACCTGAAAGGAAGTGATAATATCTTGATCAATTAGACACTATAGAGGATCTCGAGTCCGTTATCATAACTAGGTCTGGGCCAATAGCCGTTTCCACGCCTCTGTACCACTTTCAATGGCATTATACTCCCAGAGCCACTCAAACAACCCATAGTCCGCACCCGCACGAAGTTCTGCATCGCGTTCCTCCTGGTCTGGGCCATCGGTAAGGGAGAACATGGCCTTCTGGTCCAACGTGCGACGTCGGACATCTGATGCTCGTGGTTTGCGAACCTCCTCGAACACACGAAGAGCATCAGGGATTTGGCCACGCCCCACCGACTGACTGAATATCGCCCCCAGGACGCCTGCATCCTCAAAGGCCTGCGCGGCACCCTGTGCTCTGAAGAAGAGTCAGCCGGATCGGTTTGGAATGGATCGAGAGAATACATAAATTCAATACTCACAGGCATGGCAACATCGCGTGCGCAGCATCCCCAATCAATGCGAATCGTCCACTCTTATGACGCCATTGGGTCGGTTCATCGATCTGGAACAAAGTCCACTTGGTGCAGACAGACCCTTCCGTGTTGATGAGCTCATGAAGTACCGGGTCCCACCCCGCGATCCTGCTCCCGAACTCTTCCAGGCCTGCCCGCTGCGGCCCGTACATGACATCGCCGCTCGCGCCCTCGGCGTATACCAGAACTACGTTAAGCACATCGTGTTGGATGAGGTATGAGACCACGTGTCCGCCTGGCCCCATCCAGAAATTAACACTGGATCGTCTTTTCATGTCCCAGGCAGAGTGAAGTTCTGTTATGTTCTTTGTCGGAACGGAAACCCGGTACACGACGTCGCCGGGACTGTAAGGAGGGTCCTCGCGGCCCAACAGGCCACTCCGGCAACGGGACCTCTCCCCGTCCGCACCAAGAATCAGGTCAGCTTCATAAACCTCGCCGGTGGACAGGCGTAAGGAGGGCTTGTTGAAATCGATCTCTTTAACCTCGCTTCCCAGTTTTATCTCGATCCCAAGCATTTCTGTTCCCGACAGCAAGGTTTTGAGGAGGTCTGCACGGTGGATCACGATGTAAGGGGCCTCGCTAACCAGGTTCGGATGGGATACAGGCGGTGACTGCGAGAGCACATCTCCCCGGTAGGAGCGAAAGGTCCCGGCCTCTGGCTGGTCAGCATACTTGAGAACCTCCTCGAAGACGCCCCAGTGTTGAAGTAAACGCGTCGCATTCGGGGATAGCTGTATTCCTGCACCAATCTGTTGGGCAGCGTTAGAAAGTCTCGAAATCCAATACATGGCAAGCATGGAGTTACTTCTTGTAGTTTGACACTACGCTCAAACACTGTCACATGGTGACCAGCTTGAGCGAGAGCCAAAGCAGAAGCCAGTCCGCTAAGACCGCAACCTACAATGCAGATAGACAGCAGGGGTCGAAAATCAGACGTATCAGCCATATCGAAGATAAAGGCGATGGCATTGATGATTCCCGAGGAATCTTGGAAAGCCAATAGGGCGTCGAGGCTTTTATACTGGAAAGATTATGTCAGAAGGTTTCTAGGCAAGTGCTAAGAATGAATAAGCGTTGTTTTCCTATCTCTTGAATGAACTGGTCTAGGCCTGGCTGCCGAGTCGCTAGCCGAATTCGCAAGCCCACGTCAACAAATGAGACACAGCCCTGGCGTGAGATAGAACAAACAAATAAACACGCCCAAGTCAACAACCGCACTGGGTCAGCGCGCGAATTCCAATAGATGTATTTGTTCGGAATGTTTCTAGTTCGATAGGAGTCCGTTCTGCTTGTCCTGTGTTTGGGATCCTGCGGACTCTCCGGGATCAGAAGCCCCCTATGGCTACATCATAAACCAGTGTCAATACCACCCCCTGTGCACGACGAGGCAGCGCAGCAGTCCGAATCCAGCACGTCTGACGCATTCGTTCCATACTTGTGCAAAGAAGGCGCTGTTTTTTCAAAGTGCTATATCATATACAAGGCGACTGGCTATACAAAGCTAGGAAGCATTATACAATGACTCATGACCGAGGTCAACTTATACAGGTAGTTGATATCGTTTCCATCAGCAAGGTCATCCTGAGCCCAGACGGCATGCAGTATTCTCTTACAATCGCTCCAAGATCGCGATGAGCCCATCTTTTCTGTCCTAGAGATGACATCAAGGACAACGGACCGCTGCTGATCCGTTCGCGCTTCGCAGCCGATGACGTGAATGGGAAATTGCTCTTTACACGATCGTAGTCGAGAGACGATAGCGAAGGCTTTGTCCAGGTACTGTTGAGTCCTGATGGGTTGGTCTATCAGGCTTTCGAAACACCGGTCGAAAAACAATAGTATGGCGAGCTGGTAGAGCTGTAATACCAGAGTAGCATCCTCCGAATCATGGTCGTCAATATCTGGGACTTTGGGTATCGGAAGACTCCTGATTCTCCAATACAGTACCCCCAGGAAGCCCTTGTAATCATCCATGTTGCCGCTGGTTTCTGACGGGATTGCACCGTCTGACACTGTATCGCATACTTGGGACAGTACATCCAGCGTGCAGATTACAGGCGGCGGCAGATTGGACACCTAAAACATTCCAGTGTCAGACTAACACTTCCTGTAGTAATGCAGCCGCTGTCATGACAAACCTGCAAATTGAAAATGTCTATTGAAGTCGGCAGGAGTTCCGGGGCCCCGTCTCTTTTCCAGTGTAGCAGGGAAAAACGAGCGAGGACATCGTGGTAGTGCACCCAGTCCAGTAAGACGACCATGTCAGAACCAAGCTGGCGTAGTTGTTTGACAGGGGAGGCGTTGAGGACCGTCTTGACACCACCGAGGTAAAACGCCCAGTGGCCTGAAGTGGAAGACGGCTGGTGGACTTCAAAGGAGCAGAGTAGCATCCCTGCGGCAGTATGCTGCATCGCATTTGCGCCATGCCCTGACGCTACTGGTTCCTGTGCCAAGCTGCGTAGCGCGCCAACCTTTAGCTCCAGAGCTTGGGACTGCAGGCCATAACGATGTAGCGAAGAAAACGCCAGAAGCGCCTGGAACACCGCCGCAGCTGTGGTCGTCTCGCCTTGTAGGGCAATCCGGACTAGGGAGTTGCTTAGGGTAGTAGTGTCGTGGCCGAATGTAGCAAGGGACGCGGACGCCACACGACAGACTATAGGTTGTGTGCATGCAGATGTTAGTACTGCCTCTGCTTATGAAGTTGGTAGATGCTCGTGCCAGATTTGTAAACCATACAGTACTCTAAGAGGTCTCGGTCAAGAGCCCCAAGTTTAGATGAGTTCCAGAAAGTCGGAACACTAAGCAGAAGAAGGTTGCGGACAGGACCGGAGCTCTTCAATTTGTTGTATAACTCGATATCCCAACATGACGTGTGGATGAAACTTGCATCGGAGATGGTGCCCGCGATCGAAGATGAGGGTGACCACTGAGCCGACTCGGAGACGACAGCACGCCGCGCATCGTTGGGGCGCGGCCAGGACAGCCTGAGGCCGTGCCCCCGAAATTTCCGGTTCGATCGAGAGCAGCTCGTACAGACTCTTTTCGGTCTGGCGAGCTCGCGACTGCTGGCACGACCTGGTCGGGTTAGAGGTCTTGATACTTTCTTCCTAGGCCCGCTACCTACCTTGGCATGTAGCACAATCGGGGGGCGTCGCTGTTAGCCGCCTTTCCCGCATGGCCACTGAAACGTCGCATGCGTACGACCAAATTAGACGGAGAATAGAGGGAAACCAGTGAAGCTTAGAGCTAGTAGCTCTGCTCTTATATTTGTAGACTTGCCTCTGGGATGGTTCCAGTGTTACATTGCATTATGCACTTTCAAGGCACGCCAGTCTGAACATAAATAGGGCTGGGACTTTGGGGTAATTCCTAGATACACCCTGCTCCATTCCCTGGGAAGGCCTGCCGTTCCGCTCCATTCGTTGAATAGTTCGCAGCAGGCTCGCTTGTCACTCTGTACATCCGACCGCCAACGACAGCTCACTTACCTAGCTTAGGAAAACGTCCGGCGGGCAAACTGGTGTGTAGGGGTACTTACGATGATGCGGTAAAATAGGAAAAGCATACCGAGGTGACGATTCACTCCATTGCCTGCATGGCTTGAGGCAAAGATTCAGAAAGATTCAGTGCGTGGACCGTCAGACAGGAAGACCAGTATGTATAGCTACTTTGCAAGCAATCATGCAGCCGAGACCGAGAAAGGGCTGCAGGGCAAGAAATTTGTTGACGGCTAAATTAGCTCCCGAACGAAGCGGCGCCACCCGCATATTCCAAGTCGAACGCCCGCCAATCGATCTGAAAGATCATCCCACTCGACTGGGACCCCCTCCCCACGTAACGGTATGCACTCTTGACAGCCGTTCTGGTGGGAGGGCAGTTTCGGTAACGATGCAGGTAAGACGGTCGAGCGGCTTCGGAGTATTGTCCCCGCGACATACAGTGTACAGGTATTGAGCTCACTAGCTTCGAGCACGTAGAAATACATGGGTAGGCGTACAGGTATACCGCTGATCAGTCGTATGTAACACCTATCTCCCCGTGGAATTACCTGAACATAAAAGGACATTTCGCCATATGGCTGACTGGCAGTCCTGAGATCCGTTGCATTATCTGTTCCCTTTGATAGTTTTCAAAATGTTGTGGGCGTGGCAGCAGTGGCTCTCGCCGCGACCGCAGCATCGCACCAGAAACAACTCTCAACCGTCCTTCCTCCATCTTGGCAATGCGGCACTGTACGAGCCCCTCTCAAAGCCTGACGGCCGTTGGTACGTCAGAGAGACGCATTACATAGAGAACCCCCTCGTCCGCGCCGGACTGACTGGGCCGCCACTGTAAGCAAGAGATCTCAGGCCCCGAAAGTCACGGAGCGAATCTGATTATCTGGTATGGCAGACACATACATCGCTTACAGGATGAATACTTCAAGATCGAGCAAGGTGTACTTGGTGCAGTGAAGAACGGGGTAGAATACGCCGTCACCAAGGATAATGGAATCTTTCATATACCCGCCGGCACGCGGTAAGTTCTGGACCCGACAGACAGACAACGTGTCCGGTGTAAGTACTTCGAGGGCCACTTTGACTGACCGAAAGCCGTCTTGGATTCCCAGCCACAAGTTCTGGTCTCATAAATCAGCCACGGAAGATCTCGTCTTCTCCGTCTGGCTAGATCCATGCAAGGACACTGATTACATTCTTGACGTGAACTTCCTACGCAATCTCTCTGGCTATGTAGATGATTGTCTCAAGGCCGGCCTGAAGCCATCCGTTCTACAGATCATCCTCTTCACTGAAAATGCATCCTCCCTCCTGTGCCCGCCGTTCCTGAATTGGATGCCTGTCTGGTTGCTCATTTGGGTGCACCGCGGGCTTGCCTGGTTCGCAGAGAGTGTGTTGGGGTAAGTGTCTGGTGGGACCCACGGTTTCTGTGATGGCTACTCTATCATACGTGCGCTGGCGTTCGCTAACTATTTATGAATTCAGGTATAAGAAGTCGTATCCTGAGTACACCAGAACTTCGTGAAGAACCCAATCAGTAATAAGAATGATCTAAGTAAATATAGTGCTAAGATGGAGCATTTAGGGAGGAACGGTATACTTTTGAGCCACATGCTCTTTCTATCCGTAATGAATCTATTTATGTCCTCTTGGAAAGAACCGGGCAATTTTAAGCACAGGTGTCGGGCAGCGGCTAGCACGGCGCCAATGAGTTGAATTGATGAATATGACAAGGGAAAAACTATGGACATGTCCTTCTATGCATAGCAAGTAGCGAATAAACGATCCCCTCATACCAGCATATCTTTGGCAGGCTTGACTATGATCGTGAAAGACCACAACAACTAAGTAGCATAGTGTGACTGTTGATGTAACGAATGGGCTTAGTTACCCTGGTGGCCGGGTCGATAACGAACCTACTGCCCTGAGCAGAAAAGAACAAGCTCACGACACTGCTAGATCACAAGAGGGCCTGCACACCAAATGAGGACTTGATTGGGACCAGTGCAGAGAGTTCGGTTTGGATGCAGGACTTGGATGTGGTGTAATAAACATCGCTTCTACTTGAGGTATAGCCTGGAATCTTCAGGTTCCATGTATCAACCTACCTAATATTGTACTTATATTTGCCCGCTCCCTCTCACACCGGACACCTGTATCTCCCTTACATGCGCTTAACTCAATTTCTGCTCTGTAACTGGTAAAACAAAAAAATGCCTCTCTCAACCGAACAACTCATTATTGCTCAAGGCTCGACGGTGCTCATTACGGGCGTCAATGGCTTTATTGGATCCAATATCGCTGACCAGTTCCTCAAGTTTGGTTACAAGGTCCGCGGTACGACCCGTAGCCTGGAGAAGAATACCTGGATCAGCACCCTATTCAACAAAAGGTATGGCTCAGGCAGTTTCGAGTTGGTGGCTGTACCAGACATGGCGGCAAAGGACGCCTTTTCCAAAGCTGTCAAGGGTGCCTCAGCCGTTGTCCATACGGCAACCATCTTCTCCCTGGACCCGAATCCATATAATGTGATTCCGGGGACAGTATCAGGAACTCTCAACGCTTTGGAAGCAGCCGCCCAGGAGCCAAGTGTGAAGCGCTTCGTCCTCACATCCTCTTCCACAGCCGCATTGATCCCAAAGCCCAACAACCCCGTCAAGGTCACGACTGATACATGGAACATCGAGGCTGTAGAGTTGGCGTACCGCGATCCGCCTTATGAGCCGGAGCGCGCGCTGCCTGTTTACGCCGCCAGCAAGACCCTGTCCGAGAAAGAAGCTTGGAAGTTCATGGACGAGAGGAAGCCTAGTTTCACCCTGAACACCATTCTGCCCAACATGAACTTCGGCGCCAGCCTCGACGTCGCCAACCAAGGTCACCCCTCCACTTCGGCCTTTGTTGCAGAGCTTTTCAAGGGAAATACCCACTACCTAGGTGGCATCACAGCTCGTAATTCTCATCAAAGCACATCTCAAAAAGCAGGGAGGAACAAAATGGGCTGACCCGAGATCACAGAGTACTTCGTCGATGTGCAGGACGACGCCATATTGCACGTCGCTGCCGCTGTTCACCCCGACATTCAATCCGAGCGCGTATTCGCCTTCGCCGAGCCTGTGAATGCGGACGTTATTCTGGCTGTTTTCCGGAAACTCTATCCGAGCCGTAGCTTTCCCGCCAACTTCCGGGCGGAGGAGGATGTGAGCGACATTGTGCCTGGTAAGCGAGCCGAGGCCCTGTTGCGCGACATGGGCAGAGACGGATGGACAAGATTGGAGGAAAGCATTAAGCGAAACACGGAAGACCTCGTTTAGGATGTTGGAACAACATGGCCTACGGGAAGACATTGATGGTTGGGGGGAGTTGGCCTGCTCATGCCTTCATGGGGATGTGAGGGCTCCTTCATGCAATGTCACTCCGGCTTTTCAAATTTGGCAAGTTTATGGAAATGATTATTTCCTCCTGTGTATAGCCCTCTGACCACCATTGACCATCTGCCTCATCCGACACAGCACAGGCGAGGAGCCCCGGTGACCCCTCTCCAGAGTCTCCGCGTATGTACGTGGGGGTGGTGCCAAGCCACTGACTGTATTTGCTACCTTCTCGTGTACCTCTTTAGCCATAGATTCCGAAGGACAGGCTAGCGTTCTCAGCGTGGAACTTTTTGGATCTGTCATTACTGTGTTGGGTGTAGTCTAGGGCTACCGAATCCTAACGGATGTCTATCATTGTGACTAGGGTGACTAGTATGCAGTCATCCCTATCACCTCGAGTGCTCACTCCACATGTGCTTCCTTTTTACCCCGCAGTAATACTGAGGTACGTAAGTATATCCTTCACAGACGCCTGTTCAGCCCCCAAACTCCTTATGTCACCTCGCAGTACGGCCTTGCTCCAGTCGGCAGGCAAGCCGTATCGAGCCCGCAAGGCCAGGGTCAAGGTGAACCCGGTCAGCCGTCGGCCCTGGCCCCTGAACCGATTTCGCGGTTAGGTTCCCTTGTGGGGGCCATCCACTGCACCCTCACAAGCTCTCTCCGCGCATCCCCGTTCCTGTTCCTTTATCTTGTCCCGGAATGGGAAGGTCATAGCAGCGGCCCTCCCTCCATTTGTGGTATTTGCTTCGACACTGTTGAACTGGCCGGGTGGAGTATGCACGGGGGGTCCGCCTCAAATCTCACCTAAGACACGCAGCGTGCGTATGCAGAATAGTCTTGAGCAGACTTGACAAACGTTGGACCAACGTTTTGGCATACATTTAGTATATTGTCCATTCATTTTAATCACTTCCCTGTTGGTCCGAGGAGAAGTACTAGGATGCTATCATCCAAGCACAAGACTGTGGGGGCGACCCGGGGCCGGATGGAATCCGGAATGACCCACACCATCAGAGGAGGACAATCTGAGTATGGCGAAAGATGCATCGTCTTGAGCTTGAGCACTGTATGTGTCCTCAATATTTAACTGCTGGAGTGCCTAGGTACACAGATGTCCGAATATTCTTCAGTAGCAGGCATACATAACTGTTATGACAAAAGATAATAAAGGTCATGGTTGATCCAGCCTCGGGGCCTCGGAACTGCCAGTTAGCTCTTTCCAACCCGATCCTCAGGTCTTTGGCTCTCTAGCGACTTACATACATCGCCCGTTATCATACCTTTATTCTCCATCCTTAAGGACGACGCAAGTCCTGAAACTATCCAACCCACCATATTCCGAAAAGTACCACTTTCTTCCCCCACCATGGCTGAAGCCAAAGGCTACAACAAGCCAAGTCATGGACTCTTTCGCTTCATACCAGACGCATGGGTTCCGTACGCCGAACTCATGCGTCTCGACCGTCAGTCAGGATTCTGGGCCTTCTACTGGCACTACTTGATAGGGCTTGGTTTTGCCATCAACATCCCCCCGTTCTCCCGCGATATCGATTTGAAAACTCTCGGTCTCCTTGCGGCATACTTGGGATTATGGACTACCGTATTCCGCGGCATCACCTGCACATGGAACGACAACTTGGACCAGGACTTGGATCGCCAGGTAGCTCGCTGCCGAGTGAGACCCATCCCACGGGGTGCCGTTACGACGGGACAAGCACATCTCTTTACCGCCATACAAATTGCCGTTGGCACCTGTATCTTGTACCCCTTGGGCGATTCTGCCTTGGTTCACGCCGCCGTAGATGGCGCTCTCTTGTTCATCTACCCCTTCCTGAAGCGCTGCACAAATTACCCCCAAGTCGAGCTGGGGTTTGGGCTGTCGTATGCCATATTCCTGGTGACGGCGATGGTCGGGAAGGATCCGTTGAGTTCTCTGCTGGACCCATCTTTGGATCTCTCGACCCGCGTGTCCAAGGTCGTTGAATCACCACTATCCCGGTCAGCGGGATGTCTATACTTCGCTGGGATTATCTGGACCGTCATCTTCGACACCATCTACGCTCATCAGGATTACCTCGATGACCTAAAAGCTGGTGTCAAAGGACTCGCCGTACGCCTCGGAAGGAAGGGAACGAAGCCGGCCTGCTACATGGCGACTGCTGTGCAGCTCTACTTTCTAGTGTTAGCGGGACGGCTTGCAGGTTTTGGCGCACCATACTACGCTCTATCGTGTGGCGCAACTGCTGTGCTGTTGGCAAGGATGATTTGGACCGTCGATTTGGAAGACGGCGACAGTTGCGCTTGGGCGTTTGGTCCCGGAAGCGGTTACGTCGGCACCGCAATCTTCTCTGGGTTATTGGCCGATTTCTTTTCCAAGAAGTACGGATACTGACCGACCAGTTCAGGCATGTGGTCACTCTTGGTTGTCGACTTGTTGACCCGGTGAAAATATGAAGCAAGCATCTTAACCTTGGGCTCAATTTAGCAGTTGACTCAAGGACAGCTGTGACTGGAAGGCTGAAGTCGGTAGCAGTCCGGTTTATATAGATATTATATACAAGGAATGCAAACAAACCATGATGCCTACTTGAATATTCCACCGTCATATGAAAGCGCAATACGTTGTCGTTCGCTCAGACTTCCTAGCGCCTGGATGAGGTGGAAGAGTCATATCGCCCGCACTGCCACAACCGACCCTTTTACCGCTACTTTCCCACCGCCCTATCGATGGCTGATATGCTGTGTAATTACGTGGAGATTTTCGATTAGTTACTGGATTCCTCGCCGGTTGTGACAGCAAAACAAAGCAATTGCACGCGACTTGGTGTAATGGACCCATTTACATATCCCACTTATAGACCAGCGTCCAGACCATGAGCCATGTAATAATAGAGCTTCACGACTATCGCCATACCATAGATATATGTAGTCCGTAAAATCATGCAGATATCTTCCTTTACCTTGAGAAGCTCCATTTCCCGACATGAACAGTCAAGGACAGCTCCAGGAGCCAATTGTTAAAGGGGTTTTATTCACTTCTGATCCCGTTGTGCCAGCTGTTCAAGTCGCTTGCAAATTAACAATAAGGGGAAACGGTCGCTATCGTGCTAAAGTACTAAAGATCTAGTCGAATCTGGCTGTGCACCTGCTTCTTCTTTTCAGTCCCGTTACATTCTTGATAGCCCCGTGTTCCAAAAATGTCGTATCATAGCTAATACGGATGGTAGACCTAGATACATCAAGCCAGTCATTCCAATCCTTGAGTGCCGTCTGAGTCCATTGCGGATCAAATAAAAGGCTCTCCATGCTCTCCAAGTCGTCAAACCAATACTCCAATATAATATCGCAGTCGTTCACCTTCCATGCAGGCCGCATCTGATCTAAATCGGCTTGTAAGGCCGCGCCGAGCTTGGGATCCGCCTCTTGCTAATAATCCAATTGTGTCAGTAAGCCCTTATCGTCAAGCTGGCTGTCTAGTAGCTACTTACAAATGCGCATCTCAGGATATTGTGCTTCTTGATGATGGGAACCGCGCGAGGCAGGAACTGGGTTGTGAACCAACGCATAAAGTCCTCCTCAGAGACACCGTCCTTACGGTAGTGCTCCCCTGTGTATTTGATGGCGCGGCCTGTTGTTGTCTCCAGGGAACAGAAGTTTACCCCGTGCATTGCCATCCTGACTGATGGGGATGTGAAAAGCAAGTCTGACTTCTCAGCTCACTGTAGTGCGCGGTGGCAGGTTATAGTAAGCAATAATTGGGCAGGCAGTGGACAAAGGTGAAGCGAATAAGTAGGGAAACATACTTTCGAGGGTAAAAGAAAAGACGTGCATGTGGCGTACTCACACCACCTTGTTGGCTGAGCTTCAGCTCATGTTTCTTTGGCATCGTTTGGTGAGGCGTGGCTGGTGCTGCGCCATGCACGAAGGATTAGATAGTATAAGCGCAGCAGTCTAGCATGAGACTCTCAGTTGCCTTACGGATCTCATTCCGTCTTACCTGCATAGAAGCGAGTGAAAGCCGAAAAGCCGGAAACACAACCCTCTTGCCCACGAATGCTACCTAAAGCTGGGTCGCTTAGTTGTCTCATCTACGGACTACGGAAGCAAGATGAGGCCCACCCCAGGCACCTTTTAGAAATGAAAATGTCCATATTTTGCAAGCTCGTATCATGCAGAGCAGCGTCGAATTTGTAAAAATGGCAAGTTTGTTGCCGCTGTCTGTTGGATGTGGATGAGATGGCACGCCAACCTGCGGTAAATGGATCTCACTGCCTCAGGATGGGGGTTCGGTGAGAGATGTCGGCAACCGGCACAAGCGCCAGAATTCGGTGGATGATAGTCTCCACCTCTGCCTGGCGGCGGCCTCAAGCCTCCCACACACCCTTCGAACAGTCAGCATTTTCAGCTTTTGAGGCAGCTTGCAGCCTGTTGGCATATACAGGCAGTGAAATGTGGTGACGCATGGTCGGGCGATTTCAGTCATCAATCAGTCATCCCGAGTCTGCTATCCATGTATCCGGGGCCGAAGGGATACTTGGGTGATAAGGGGACAATCGAGTCAAATATCTACCTCAAGAAGGTCACAGTCCTGAAGCTCATCTCAGGGTGGTCATCAAGACAGCTTTCACAATGAAGATTTCTGCGGTTTCCGTATCTTGTTACCTTGGGCTCTTCTGGACCCTCGTCACTAGTGCCAGCATCCCCAGATACTTTGAGAAACATCCCGTCACCCGTCGTGACTTGAGCAGTGCAAAGATTCAGCAAGAGCTCGGTGGCCTGGTCTCCAACACCACTTTGATATTCGGGCCGGATGATGACCGTTTCGGGAATGCCACTTCCAGATGGCAGGACTTTTCTAGGCCCACCATTCAAATTGCAGTCGAGCCCGGAAGTGAGTCCGACGTAGCCACTGTCGTAAGACCCATAAACACGAACTCAACGAGAAGACTGGTCCTACATGCTAACATTGGTTATCAAGGTCCAATACTGCAACGCGAACAGTATCAAATTTTTGGCCCGAAGCGGCGGACACGGCCTGACAGCAAGCCTCGGTACATTTAGTGGTATCCAGATCAGCATGCAGCCGCTCAACCGCATCACCATTCAACCTGGCCGCAAGTCAGCCTGGCTCGGAGGTGGCACTCTCGTAGGCCAAGTCATGCATTATCTCTGGGAGAAGGGCTTGGTCACCACCACTGGCGGGTGTGAGTGCGTCGGCATGCTAGGCGCCGGCCTTGGGGGTGGCCACGGTCGCTACGAAGGTCTGTATGGCATGATTAGCGACAACATACTGCAGCTCAACGTGGTCTTGGCCAATGGCTCCTCCATTTGCGTCAACACAACGAGCCACAGCGACCTTCTCTGGGCTATGAAAGGGGCCGGTCACAATTTCGGCATCGTCACAAGCTACGAGATGAATGTCTTCCCCCGGGGCCCTGACACCTGGCATTACCATAACTACATCTGGCGTGGTGAACAGCTAGAGCTTGTCTTTGACACTCTTAACCAGTTTCATGGGAACGGCACAACTCCTGTTAACATGGCTTTCAACGTTGGAAGCTTCCTTATTAACTCCACTGTAACTAGTGAAGAACCTGTTCTCTTTTGGACGTTTGCCTACCGTGGCACCGCTGAGGAGGCCGAGAAGCATCTTGCTCCCTTTAATGCGATAGAGACCGTCTATGAGGAAACCGGCGACGTCCCTTACCCGGAAATTGGCCACGCGCAGGGCACCAGCATGTCTGACCCCATCTGCCAGCACGGCAGCATGCACATCACGTCGACGGCGGGTCTGCTGGTCTACAACCTGACAGCTGAGCGTCTCATCTACGAGGGCTTCAAACGACGCGCAGCCCAAGATCCGGACCTCGCGGCCGGGACTGGCATCATGCACGAAGGCTATGCGACGCAGGGAGTGGAGGCCGTGGATCCCGCGGGCTCGGCCTACCCCTTTCGCGCCGATCGCCACCTGATGTTCTTTAACGCCGCCCTGCCGCACGGTGATGGCTCCCGCGAGCAGGCGGCCTGGGCCTGGGCCAGTGAGGTCCGCGACCAGTGGAACGCCGGCCAGCCGGGCCGCCCCGTCAACGCCTACGTCAACTACGCCACCGGCTTCGAGACTCTCGAGCAGCGGTACGGTCACGAGAGCTGGCGCATCGAGCGGCTACGTGGCCTCAAGGCTCGGTACGACCCCGACAACCGCTTCCGCTACTACAACCCCATCGTGGTTGAACAAAGCGGAGAGCAGAAAGCAGTCAATCCCTAGTCTTGGTTATTTTGAATAGGGACGAATCTTCATGTGACGAGTGATGCGGCTGTCTACAAACTCTCGAGTGCTATAAAAGACCTGTCTGATTAATTATGTGCTTCCTCAACTCAATATGGAGTATGTCTGTGTTCAACGACAAGGCTATAGATTTTGATGACGTTACCACATAATCCTACCTGAAGACTATCTTGGACCATAGATCAACTTGTTACACGACTCACAGGGACTGAGAGGATGTCAACTGGGTCATTGATTCGTCTAGTAGATAGCTTCTAATACAGCCAGCCACCTTTCCGGCTGAATGTCTAGAACCCTGGTTTCAACGCATAGATCATCAAGGGCCATGTTGTAATCCTCTTTCGAGAAGGGCTTCTGATACAGGGTGACGACGACTGGTCTCACAAGGTTCGCAGCAGATCTCCAAGCGGAGGGGGCAGCACTGCCGGATCCGCAACGCTCCTTTTGCTCTTCGTTAGGGGTAGTCATCGGCTTGGAAATATTGCTCTGCAACATGCCCATTACTCTTCGTTAGGCGCGAACACAACAGATCGACCGGCACTAGACTCTTTCTCCGCTGTTTCCAGCGCTTTCGCGAACTCCTCCATCTTGAAAGCGCCTTGGACTTTTAAGCCGGCCTTCTCGCCTAGCTTCAAGACGCCCGTCTGCACAAGCTTAACAAGATCTCTCTGTTGACTCCAAGTACACATCATTGTCGCCCGAATGGTCAGGCCCCTGAATTGAAGAAGTGGGGGGGAGATGGTGATCTCGGAGACGCCGCTCATCAGGTTCACGCGTCCGCCGGCCTGGACAGAGAGCAATCCTGCGCGGATATGGTCGGTATTGGCCGCGGTCTGCGGAGTCAGGTCGAGGAAGACATCGACAGGGCCAAATTTTGAGATCTCGGATAGGTCTGTTTCCCAACTGCCGCTGATGCTAACCGTCTCAACCCGTCCCGGCGCGAGGTCTCGGAGTTCCCCCAGGACCTTTTCGTTGCGGCCCATGGCTATGACGCGGGCCCCCATGGCGAGGGCGACGTGCACGGCCGCGCCGCCGAAGTTGCCGGTTGCCGGGCTGATTAGAACGGTCTCGCCCGCGGTCAAGTTGACGTCCCGGAGGCCGGCGTAGGGGACGACCATCTGTCCGAAGAAGACGAGGTCACGAGGGCTCACGCCTTGTTTCTGCAAGGCCGCCTCGTCGAAGCGGTGGACGGACTCGAGGGGTGCCTTGACGAGCTCGGCCCAGGTGCCGTGGTGCCAGACGTCCTTCGCAAGTGCTTTCATCTCGCCCGTGGCGGCGAGTAGCCCCAGGAGCATGATCTGGCCCGAGTCGTCACGCGGGTGAATCGTAGGGTCGACGACCACGAGGTCGCCGACCTTCAACTTGGCTGCATCCGAGGGGATGGCGACGATCCTCCCTACAGCGTTGGTGCCGCCTACGAGAGGGAAGGGAACAGGATACTGGCGCGGGTTATCCTTGCCGTAGACGTCGTTAATGTACCCAGGTATCCAACAGTACAATGGCTTGACGATCACTGACCCGACATCTACGGTAGGCGTCGGAAAGGATGTGATTTCAGGGGGAGTAGACGGCGAAGTGAAGTAGAGCCCCTTGTAGCTGCTAGGGAGCTGGGTTGATGTACGCGAAGACATTTTTTTGATATGATATGAGGGGCCGGTGCTGACTTGAGTGGTGTTGAGAGATAGAAAGGACTAGGATGTGAATGACTCGGGCACGAACGGGGAGAGATACATTATATCGTCGACTTGCGCAGTTTAATCGGGTCAACCAAGTGAATGCTGACAGACATCCGTCTTGAGATGCTTTTGTAGGGATTTGGTGGTGACTAGGTGCGCATGAGACCAAGCGCTCCAGCGGGACCATTCATCATCAATGTAGGATTGATTGTGCATAGTTGCCGCAAGACTCACTTGACGTAACACACGCAGATGAATTGATGCCCAGGTCTTATTCAACGTACCGCTACTATTATCCGAACCACATCCCCTCGCGGATGGTGGGGACTGAAACTTATCTCCTCCAGGGCTGCCCAGGACTGGGATCTTTACGATCTAGCTTCCTTGGAGAGCTTGCGCGGGCTGGTTCATGATCAGCGATAAGTGTACCCAAATTAGTTCCAAGGCCAGTCCCTACACTTAATAGGGTAATAATCATTTGCTTACTAACGGAAAAAGACGCTGATGCAGGCAGGCCTTCCCAGCTTGAGCACATCGTGCGATAACGACATCGAAATCGGCGCTAGTTCCCAGTATACTTCGCCGGGGAGGGCGTGCATAGCTCCCCGTGCTGGTTCTTCTCGGAACATAGAACTGGTCTGATTGATGACCTTCACCGAAATGCTTCATAAGCAGTTGATCATACATCGACGCTAATGATGCAGGGTAACACCAAATCGCACGAAACGGCAAGTTTGGTATTAAGTCTCAGCCATCCCTCTCAGTCCAACAGGATGAATTGCCGCATAACCCCACTCGATCCTCCACCCGACCCAATCGCCCGGCCTATCCTTTCTGATCTATCATTACATATTGGTGCCTTTCATTTGACCGGTATATGGCGTGATTGCTAGCCAACGGTGATGGCTGCATTGCCCGCGAGACAGACACTCAAGCTTAATAATGCGTGGAAACAAATGGACTGCCCGTTATATTTTGAGGCGGGCACAACTGTTCAGAACCTGGCACCTCGCGTAGTGTTCCTTCCCAAGTCTGTTATCTATCAAGCCATTTGAGCAAAGACTTTTTCCTCTCTTGCTTGATAAACATGTCCGTGTACGTTATCACCGGAGTGTCCAAGGGAATTGGGGTGAGTCTGCGTTCCAGAAATCGGGCTACTTGCATTTCCTTACTCCAGTTTAGTTCGAATTCCTGAAGCAATACTCCCAAGACTCGAAGAACCTAGTTATTGGTCTGGTCCGCGACAAGACTAGAACCGAAAGGAAGATAGCGGCAGAGCTAGACAACCGTCCGAATGTCCACATCCTCCACGCAGACCTTACCAAGTACGCCAGCCTGAAGCAGGCCGCCGCCGACACTGCCGACATCGTGGGCGACCGTGGCATCGACTACCTGATTGCCAACGGAGGTTTGGTGCCCTTGCTTGACGTCTACGGACCCATCGGTGACTTGTTCGTGTCCTGACTACCCTCTGTCCGACGTCCGAGCCGGCTTCTGCTCAACGCTAACTATTCTTCTACAGAAGCGGCATCCCCGAGGAGCTAGACGTCGTTGGATCAGAGCTATGGCAGATTAATGTCATGGGCAACATCCACCTCATTCACCTCTTCCTCCCACTTGTCATGAAGGGCAAAGTCAAGAAGGTCATCTTCATTTCCTCGGGTCATGCCGACCTCGACTTCACCAATGCTCTGGACGTCGATACGAGCCCGATATACACTGCCTCGAAGGCGGCCATGAACGCCATCATGTCTAAGTTCAGCGCGCAGTACAAGAAAGACGGCGTGCTCTTCTTGAGTATCAGCCCGGGCTTAGTGGAGGTGGGCCGCTATGCGGATGGTATGTGTCCCTGCCGCCAAGGTTGAAAGGTGCGGCCGTTTTATTAACGGATACCACAGCCACTCCAGAACAGCTCAAAGGCTTCGCGGCATTCACGGACAAACTTCCAGCCTATGCGCCCGACTTCAAGGGCCCGCTCACCCCAGAAGAATCTGTCCGACTTGTCACGTCGGTTTTTGAGAAGGCCAGCATCGAGGGCGGGTATGCCGGTGCTTTTGTCTCGCAGTATGGAAACAAGCACTGGATATAGATGCACGGCCCTGCTCCATCATACCATATGCACCTGGTGATGTAGGTATAAGTTGCGCCATACGTATCTCGTCCTTCTTTAAGAGCTTTGGACGACGGAAATGAAGTTATGCAGGGTCACAGTGGGCTCATGGCGGCGTTGCCTACACTTCAACTAAATGTTTCCGTACCGCCTGTCTCTAACAGAAAATAATGTGTTAAAGTCTTGCTTCTGAGATATAGCTAGGGTCATCCGCAAGTTTAACAACAAAACGTATAACTTGTCGATTTCCAAGTCGTCACCTCAACAACAGAACACTATTGTAAAGCGTGTAAGGCAAAGGGAGACGATTACGAGTTATTTATTGCTAATTATCCACCTACTACGCCATTTGCCTACACTTTAGTAACCTTCCCTTCTATATACTTTTTCCTGTACACACTAACAGTGCGTACGTATACACTACACTAGAATCCCTACTTAAGTATTCTCTCTTAGAAGACGTCAAGATACGGCCGTCTGTGTACAACTATTGGCTAAACCTATCTACTGTCCTACTTTATACCCCTCTGCCTCAAGTGTATCCTTGGGAGGGAAACACTGATTTATAGGCTGTTGATAAGGGATTCGCACTGTAAAAGGGGGACGTTGTTTTGCCCAAGACCCCTTGGCAGAGGGATCTTGAGCTAGTAATAGAAGACAGGTTGAGCAGGCGCCTTGTGCTACCTAGATAGACTTAGAAGGCGTTAAACAATATCATCATCATCATCATCATCATACCCCTCTGCCTGACTTAGAGATCTTAATATATTCTCTATAGCCTTTAACTAGTAAACACTATTAGATATATTTTACCTACTACTTTAGTGTCTTTATTTATCTTATTACGAAAAGAAATCTTCATATATTTTAATACTTTTTCTTTTCACCTCTTTATTACCTTAAAATGTAGTAAAAGAATATATTAGTAGCTTTTACTATAGCTAGCTATTTCTTGTCTTATATTTACTAAGAATATTAACTAATACTACTTCCATATAGCTATATAGCCCTTTTGTTTTCCTTTTCATCTTTGTCTCTAACACTATAAAGCTTAATAAATAAGTAATACTAGTGCTTAAAAGCCTTATAACTATGTCTTAATAAGCCTAAACTAGTTCTTATTTACTAGCCTCATAGTTATATATTAAAGCTATTTAAGAAGTATATAAGCTATTACCTAGCTAAAAGTATAAAGTACTTAAGCTATAATACTATAGAATAAGTATACTAGTTAAGTCCTTATAAATAAAAGACTTAAATAATACTACTTTTTTTTAATAGCCTTTTATAATATAAAGTATTAATAGTTACCTTTAATTATACTTACTATTCCTATAGCTATTAGATAATAAGTAATAACCTAGTTTATTATTACCTTAGTATAGTATATAGTATAAAAGACTCACATAAATATAAAAGAAATAACAAGACTAGATCTATAGGAGTATTTTACTATAAAGCTAGTTATAAAATAGTATATAAGGCTACAAAATAGCCTAGTCTACTACACTAAGGTTACTATTACTTTATAAGATAAGTATACCTAAGGCTAATAGTATACTTACTACCTAAGAGGTCTTACTTACTATAGTACATAATATAGAATAAGTCTACTTTACTAATAGCTTTTATACTATTACTACTACTAATACTATAACTATAGGCCTTGTTAATATTGTATTCTAGATAAGCTAAATATATTATATAGGCTAAGATCTTATATTTCATAGTGTTTACTATACCTTCTTTACAACTATAGTGAAGACTAGGAGGAAGAGCAGTACCTGCCTAAAGGAAAGCTTCTGAACTACCACATGCATCTACAGTTAGGCGCCTGGTAGCGACTCATTAGTGCGACTGCTACCAAGAGACAGGAGGCAGAGGCTAGGGGAGGTATATATCCATATTGTACGGACGAGGATCGAAAACGCAGAGGAGGACAGCGTCCTCAGCCCAAGTATCCGAAGAAAACCGACCGTGAAATAGAGGAAGAGGATTCTCGTCGCGAAGATGCCTTCCTTAAAGAAATTTACTCATCATGAACTGCCAACGAGCAATCGTCGCAGGAAGTCTTTATGGGGTATCCATCATTTAAGTAGTTGTTGAAGTACGTAATACAGCAGCGATTTTCCCTGTATTGATGTGTTCGTATGTGTGTGATATGTTTTTGCTTTTGCTGTCTTTATTTCCGACAAGGAATCGTTACAGCATCCACTACTTCTAACGACCACTCCTTGCTCGATTTGTTTCTATGTCTAAATTCCCATAACAGTATAGCTACTGTGGGATTTATTGCCTAAAAGTACGATACTGGCGGGGCAGACTTCCAGATTCTCCTTATCAACTGCGTTGACGTTGGGAGTGTCGGGCAGTAATACGGAGGGTTTGCTTCAGATTTTATCATCTGCTACGAATATCCCAAGCCTGACCTAATAATCACCATGAATCATATTGATGAAACACTGGGGCAAAGGAACATCCGTGGTAGGGCAGGCGCTCGCTATTTTGATGTTGGGTGGCCACGGGACCCGAGTTGGGGCAACTTGGGGCAACTCTATTAGACCCGAGTTGCTGCATTCAACCTCCCCTTGGCAACTCAATTGCGACGTCGTGATTTGTTCTGGATATTTCTAGGTGTCCCGGAGACACAAAAATTCCACCATTACTCGCAGACTTGGAGCTGCGAGAAGGACAAGTTGTTATTTGAAATGACCTTGCAGCCACATTGAAGAACCTCTAGTCCCCAGAACGTCAACCTGCACACCTTAACTTGCTTCCTTGACTCCTTTTAACAAGGGGCTCGAACCGTAATTAGACCACATCATAACACAATGTCTACCTCTTGCAGCACAGATGATCTCCTCGCGGAAGACATTCCACCCAACGCCATCGCCGTCGTCGGCGTGGGCTGTAAATTCCCCGGCGCCGAATCAGTCGAGGATTTCTGGCGTATGCTAGACGCGGGAGAGTCGAAGCTGAGCGAGCCGCCCAGCGGACGCTTCGCTACCCACCAACACCAACGCGACACGGACAAGACGGTGTATTTTGGCAACTACCTTGACGACATCGCCAGCTTCGACCACCGTTTCTTCAAAAAGTCGGGCCGCGAAGCAGCGTCCTTGGACCCTCAGCAGCGGCTCCTGCTCGAGGTGTCCTACCAAGCCCTCGAGTCGGCTGGCTTCTTCGGCCCCCGCAAGCCCGACTTGGACGTCGGCTGCTTCATCGGCGTATGCGCGTCAGACTACAATGACAACGTGGCCAGTCATCCAGCCAACGCCTTCTCCGCCCTGGGGACTCTGAGAGCTTTCGTCCCCGGCAGGATCAGCCACTTCTTCGGCCTGTCTGGGCCCTCGGTCGCCCTCGACACTGCCTGTTCATCGTCGGCGGTCGCCATTGACGCCGCCTGCAAAGCAATCCTGCACGGCGATTGTAAGAGCGCCATCGCCGGCGGCGTCTCCATCTTCACAAGCCCGTTCTTTTACCAGAACCTGGCTGCCGCCTCGTTTCTGAGCCCCACCGGTGCGAGCAAGTCCTTTGACGCCAGCGCCGACGGCTACTGTCGCGGCGAGGGTGTCGGCCTTGTGGTTTTGAAGCGACTTTCCGATGCGGTTGCCGACGGTGATAACGTGCTGGGTACGCTACTCGCTACTGCTGTCAGGCAGAGCAGTAGCAAGGTGCCCATTACTGTTCCTTACAGCCCATCGCAAACGGAACTCTACCGCAAGCTTCTCGCCACGGCCAACATCAAGGCTGAAGACGTCACTTACGTTGAGGCTCACGGTACGGGGACGCCCGTCGGCGATCCCCTCGAGTTTGGCGCCATCAAGGAGGTCTTTGCCAGCGGGGAGAGAGAGAACCCTCTCCATTTCGCGTCCGTGAAAGGAAACATTGGCCATACCGAGGGGGCTTCTGGAGTTGCCGGTCTCATCAAGACGCTTTTGATGATGCAGTACCGCGCCATTCCCAGACAGGTCCATTTTCAGTCTCCCCATCCCAAGATCTCCCTCGTTCCCGGGCGGATGCTGGTCCCGACAACGACCGTCCCCTGGACTGCCGACACACTCATCGCTTGTGTGAACAACTACGGGGCAGCCGGTAGCATCGCCGCCATGCTTGTCAAGGAACCGCCTTCGAAGACGACGATGACACAGAGTCGCCGAGTCACCGCATCAAGTACCAGCCTCAACCGATTCCCTGTAATCGCCACGGCCAACAGCGCCAAAAGTCTCGGCGAGAACTCCGCCAAGCTGCGAGACTACATTTTCTTCCTCCGCAGGGGCTCGGCCTCAGAGGTCGAAATATTGGCTGATGTCGCTTTCGGCTTGAGCGAGAGACAGAACCGGAGCCTTCCAAACATGCTTGCGACGGCCGTCTCCAGCCTTTCGGAGCTGGAAGATCAACTTCGAATCGTTGCTTCGAACCCCGAGTCACCTCTCTGCCAGACTAACCCCAAGCCGAGACCACTCGTCCTCGTCTTCGGCGGTCAGACCTCCCGCTTCGTGAGCCTCAACAAGCACGTCTATGACAGTTCGGCACTGCTTCGCAAGTATCTCGATGAGTGCAACGACATGATCCAAGGTTTCGCACACCCGGGAATCTATCCGGCCATCTTTGCAACCCAGCCAGTCGACGACGTGGTTTCTCTCCAGATGATGCAGTTTGCTCTTCACTATGCCTGCGCTCAGTCCTGGATCGCCTGCGGCCTGCAGATTGACTGCGTTCTGGGCCATTCCTTCGGTCAGCTCGTCGCCATGGTCGTTTCCGGCGTTCTATCGCTCGAGGATGGCCTCAAGTTGGTACATGGACGGGCCGTTCTGATGCGCCAGAAATGGGGCTCGGAAAGGGGCTCCATGATCGCTCTCGAGGCCGGCTATGAGACTGTAAGGGACCTCATTTCAACAGTGCAGAGACTGGGGGGTGTCTCTTCCGACTACCGCCTCGAGGTGGCTTGCTTCAACGGGCCTTCCAGTCACGTTCTCGTGGGGTCTTGTGCTGCAGTTGATGCCGCCTACGTCGAATTCATGAGCAGAAGCCCCAAGGGCAAAGCCAAGGTCTTGAACGTGACGCATGGATTCCACTCGAGATTCAGCGACCCGATCCTCGCTGACTTGGAGAGGCTCGCCGGGTGCTTGTCTTTCAACAAGCCCAAGATCCTCCTCGAGACCTGCTCAACAGGAGAGGCGTGGTCCGACATCACGGCGAAGCAAGTCGCCGATCATACTCGCTCACCCGTGTACTTCGAAGATGCCGTAAAACGTATTAAGTCACGGTTCGGCGCATGCACATGGCTGGAAGCTGGGTCTAACTCGGCCGTCACCGGCATCGTTAGACGCGCTCTCTCCCGCAGCAGCAGCAACAACGCCGATGACCACCTCTTCTGTCCCGTCAACTTAACCAGGGATGACGCGTTGAGTTCGTTGACAGACACGACCGTCAACCTCTGGAGGCACGGCCACCACATCCAATTTTGGCATTTCCACCGGATCCAGAAGCGAAGCTATCGAGCTCTGAACCTTCCACCCTACCAATTCGAGAAAACGCGGCACTGGCTGGACTTTGATCTTCAGGCAGGCACCTCGTCGGAGCTGTCGAAAGCGCCGGCGAAAGCACCCGAGCCTCTTGTCGTCGTCGAGGAGCCGGAGCCAGAGCCGGTTCTCATCGCGTTCTCCGGTTTCCAAGAAAACGGGGCATCTCGCGGGCCCAGAAAGGCGGCTTTTACCATCGATTCTCGTTCCGAAAGTTGGAAGTTGCTCGTTAGTGGCCATGCTGTGCTAGGCGAGGCACTCTGCCCAGCGACTATGTACATCGAGCTCGTCATGCAGGCCGCCAAGCAGCTCGCGGCCGTTGAGAACATTGCTTGCGCCCCTTTTGCACGCGTGGACGATCTGGAGATCCCCTCGCCCCTCGGAATGGGACAGAACAGAGCCGTTCAGCTTATTCTGAGTCCTTCGGATCACACAGGTCACCACTTCGACTTTGCTTTCGTCTCACGAGAGCGTTCAGGCAGACAGAGTGCTCTCCCAGCGTCGCAGGTCTCAACCATTACGCACGCTACCGGGAAGTGCGAGATCGTACCATCAGACGACAAGAGCATCACGACTGAGCTGGAACGGATCAGGAAGCTCCTCGACCGCATGCAAAAAAACCAAGACAATGACCGCATGTTCACCGACATGGCTACGCAGCCCGGCGGCGAAGCTGTTCAAGGCAAGCTGGTGTATAAGGTGTTCTCCAGGGTTGTTCAATACGACGACATTTACCAAGGCGTTCGAAGGGTCGTAGGCAGCACTGACGGTGCCATTGTGGCCGAGGTCGTCTTGCCCGAGCCGCAGCCCGCCTGCACGCAGGATCTCGTCTCTACTCCCGTCGCCATCGACAACTTCTTCCAAGTCCCAGGTCTATACGCCAACTGTCTCGCTCCTTGTCCGCCGGACGATGTTCTCGTCTCTACTCGCGTCGATCGCGTCCAGCTGTCGCCTGATTTCGGCAAGGCACAGGCCAAAGGTAGCAGCCCCGGCTGGGATGTCTTTGCGATATCCACGGCCACGAGCGACAGGGAGAGTAGCAACGACATCTTCGTCACTGACAAGATCACCGGACGCCTAGTCTTCGTCGCTTTCGGGGCCAAGTTCAGCAGGGTGAGGATGGCATCTCTCGCCAAAATTCTCTCTCGTGCGAACCCTTTGGCTAAATCCGGAGCTGCGTCCTCCAAGCCATCCCAACAGAGCTCGGCTACCACCTTCAAGCCTGCCTCAATCGAGGCAGCGCCTTTGAATATCCCATCACCAGCGCCGATTTCCCTTCCGAGCACCGTGGCTACTGTCAATAGCATATTACCGCCGCCATCCTCACCGCCGGTTCGGCTTGCCGTTGCTGCTCCGAGTGTAGCAGATGAGCTGCGTGACTTGCTGAGCAAAATGACAGACGTCCCGGCAGATCAGTTTCATGATGATACCACGCTTGAGGAGCTGGGTATCGATTCTCTTATGGCTACGGAGATCGTGTCCGAAGTCAACGAGGTTTTCAAGATCTCGATTCTGCAGGACCAGCTTCAGGACATGCAGACCTTCTCAGCTCTTTGCGCATATCTCGATGGCCATGGAGCTCAACTCGCATCTCAGGGGCTTCAGGGCGTCATCCTGCAGGCTTCAAAGGATCCCGTCGTCTCTACCCCCCTTGCCCATGTCACAAACCCGACAAGTCGAGGCATCATCTTCGACTCTGAGTTGCAGTCAACCTCATCGGCGGCAGAGACGACTGGGCTTCAAGGGCAAAACGAGCGCGCCGATTTGATACAGCAGCTGGCAGAACTGCTAGGAAACCATCTCGAGTGTCCGGCCACCGATTTCGAACGCTCGACGAATCTCATCGACCGCGGTCTGGATTCTCTTCTCTGCATGGAACTCATGAGCGACATGGAGGAGATGTTCGGGGTCTCCATCGACGCATCTTCGTTCACGGACACCTGCACCTTCGGGGACCTCACCGACATTCTCGTCGGCGCCGCCGCCGCACCCCTTGGACATTCAGCGACGACGGAGCCCAGCACGACCGGATCATCCCTGGCGCCATCCTCTGGCTACTCGACAGACAGCACCGATTCCAGTATTGTCATTGACAACACTCACATCCCCCCAAAGATAGAACAGCTGCTGTCGTCTCCAGCTAGCTCAGTCCTGGCCGGTGCTGCTCAGGAGTTCGAGGGCATTAAAGGTGACTTCGACAAGTTCGCCGCCATGTACGGCTTCAGCGACTTCTATACCAAGGTGGCCGACAAGCAGGCGGACTTGGTTCTCGCCTACGTCGTCGAGGCTTTCTCGGGCCTCGGCGTTGACCTCGCTGCGCTGAGGCCCGGCGACAAAATTCCCAAAATCCCGGTGATACCGAGACACGACCGCATGATCGGCGTCTTCAACGAAATCCTCCGTCGCGGCAAGCTGGCCGACTACGACGGCAGGCAGTACGTCCGCACGGAGCGAATGGTCGACGCCACGGCCTTCAGCAGCCGCTTCAAGGACATCCTTGCCGAGTTCCCCCAGCATGCCAAAGAGCACACGCTCCTGAACATCTGTGGCGCAAATATGGCCGCGATCCTGAGCGGCAAGATGGATCCGCTATCGATCCTCTTCGGCACCAAAGCGAACCGAAGCGTCCTCGACGACGTGTACGCGACGGCTCCCATGTTCATCATCAATTCCCAGCTTCTCACGTCTTTTCTCGAGAGAGCGTTATCCAAGTCCACCCCTGGACCTGACGGGAAATATCGCATCGTTGAACTGGGGGCGGGCACCGGCGCGACGACGCGATGGGTCGTGGACAGACTCGTGCAGAAGGGGGTGCCTATCGAGTACACCTTCACGGACATCTCCTCCGCACTGGTGTCCGGGGCCAAGCGCAAGTTCGCCGGGATCGACTGCATGAGGTATAGCACCATTGATATCGAGAAGCCGCCCGCGGCGCAGCATCTCGGCCAATACGACATCGTGCTGGCCACAAACTGCATCCACGCCACTACCAATCTGCACAACTCACTGACCAACATCAACAAGCTCTTGCGGCCCCATGGCTTCGTGTCACTCGTTGAACTTACGACGCGAAATTACTGGCTGGATATGGTCTTCGGCCTCCTGGACGGGTGGTGGCTGTACGACGACGGCCGCCCCTACGTGCTGTCGACCCCGGAGTTCTGGAATGCCACGATGAGACAGGTCGGCTTCCAACACGTCGCGTGGACAGGCGGCCACAAACGCGAGTCCGAGGTCTGCAGGGTCATCACCGGTTTTAAGCAGCCTGTCCGGGATGCGTCCGCATACCTCAGCATACCCCAGGATAGAGCCGGCGGCGTCGAGACAGTCGTCTTCACGCATACGGACAAGCAACTCCCGCTTCGAGCAGACATTCACTATCCTTCGCCGTCTCAGATGTCAGCGCAAAGGAATTGGGTTACCGGTATGGCTTGACTCAAGAAAAGCCCGCATCTTGTATATATGTAGATACCGGAGCTGACGACTGCTCCACTGCAGGTTTGATAGTCCACGGAGGAGGGCATGTGATGCTTTCACGCCAGGACGTGCGGCCGCGTCAAATACAACTTCTTCTGGACAACGGTGTCTTGCCCGTGAGCGTGGACTACAGACTCTGCCCGGAGACGACCATTCTCGACGGGCCACTTGTCGATGTTGCCACGGCATATGCTTGGGCGAGAAACACGCTGCCAAACCTGAAGCTGACTCAGACGAAAACGAACAGACTTCTCGATCGCGACAGAGCCGTGGTTGTCGGCTGGTCGACCGGAGGCACCCTGGCCATGTCCTTGGCCTGGACCTCCGTACCGCGTGGCATCCCGCCCCCCGACGCGATTCTTGCCTTCTACTGCCCGACCAATTATGAGGACGAGTTTTGGCGGAAGCCCAACATCCCTGACCACTCGAGCGGTTTCGCACATGAGACTTATAATGTCATCGAAGGGGTCTCTTCAGCCCCCATCACCGCGTATAATGTGCCTCCAAAGATGATGGCGGCAGCCGGCTGGATAGCACCAAAGGATCCCCGCAGCCGCATCGTGCTTCACATGAACTGGCATGGGCAGACACTGCCCGTTCTCTTCCGCGGCCTGCCGTCGGGCTCGGACACGCCGCCGCACACCGCGGCCGCGTTCAACAAGCTAGAGCAGCCCTCTCCGGACGAGGTGGTGCGCGCCAGCCCCTACGCCCAGATCATCAGGGGTAACTACGCGTCGCCGACACATATCGTCTTCGGCACCGGAGACGATTTAATTCCGTGGCAACAGGCCCGGTACACGGTAGATGCGATGCGGGACGCGGGCATTGAGTCGGGGCTCACCCTTGCCCCTGGCCAGCCTCATCTGTTTGATCTTTTTCGGGATCCCGATCGAAGTCGTTGGGGCTACGTGATGGAGGGCTACAAGTTTTTGTTTGAGAGGATTGGGAGAGATGTCAAGTGAAAGACTATGAATAGTAGAAGAAGAAGCTCCGTTTTTAATATCAATTTCTATCAACTATGCAACAAGACTCATATTTTTTGTGATTCATCTCTAGACCAGACTACTATTATTAAAGCTTGCTTTAGACCTGCTCAAAAGAAAACAGTACCTTGTAAGTAAGCCGCGTAGAGTAGAAACTACCTCTACCTTGTCGCCCCCGTTCTGCTGTCCCCAGCCTCGGGGAGTGGAGGGAAACCCGTCCCTGTCTTCTTCTAGTGTCGGATTTCCGTAAGGTGATCCCTGGCTCACCTTGTGTCTCACCAGTCACAGACAGTCAGCTTACAGTCTGGACCAGTCGGACCCGAGTTGTTCGGTGGCCAGGCTAGCGTAGACGTGGCCAAAAACCCGAGTGGTTCAATCCGCGCCTGGCATATATATGAATAATTACCAACCACAGTTTAGTTCCCCATATTTCAGGAGAGGTTCGCCACCGGTATCATAAGGACAAGCGCAAAGAGTGGCACCAAGCTGGTGATCATCGGCCGTTCATTCACATATCGATCACTACCGCCGCAATGACTGCACAAGGGCTCTTTGAGCAATTTGATGACAGAGTCTGTCGTATAGGTTGGATACTGGTGGCCTTAGGCATATTCATCTTCGTTCTAGACTATATGCGTTCGTATATCCGGTTGAGGCACATCCCAGGACCACCCGCGGCAGCTCTCACAAATTTGGTCCGTCGATCGTGGGTCAATACCGGCAACGCCCATATAATACACACCGATTTACACAGAAACTATGGCACCGTTGTGCGGTTTGGTCCCAACGCCGTCATGGTCTCCAGCCCCTCTGCGATTGAGAAGATCTACAGTTTCAAGACAAGATTTCAGAAGGTATGTACGCAAACGCTGGCACCGGAGCATACCCGACGTTTTGCAAAAAAAGATATTTGTATATCTAGGCAACACTAACTTCTGGGGGGGCACAGTCCGAGTTTTACGACTCGATAATGCCGAGAATGAAGGGCGATAAGATCCCAGACGTCTTCGCTACCCGCGACGAGGGTATACACAGGCGGATGAGGCGGCCCGTCGCGAATCTGTACTCGCTCACGAACCTGATGTCGTTTGAGCCGGTCATAACGTCTACGATGCAGCACCTGTTTGTGCGACTAGACGAGCTATTTTTGGACAAGAAAGTTGATGTCGACCTGTTCCAATGGATTCAATATTACATGTTCGACGTCCTTGGCCAGGTCACATTTTCCAAGGAACTGGGGTTTCTCGACAAGGGCGGCGACGTTGAAGGCGTCATCGAGAACAACTGGCGCTATTTCAGCATGGTTGCTGCGGTACGTGAAACCGAGGATACGACATACCCTTTATCTGATAGATCCTTCTGGGTCACTTTGCTAATCTTATTGCATGCCTACAACAGAACACGCAGATGCCTTGGCTTGACCGCTTGTGGAGAGACAACCCTCTGGTTCCCGTCTCGGCGAAGAAAAACCCGCTGGTCGAGTTCGGTGCCGCCAGGATCCGGGAGCGAATGGGTTTGATCGAGAGCGGCAAAGGCGACCTGGGCCAAAGAGACTTCCTCTCCAGCTTCATCGTTGAGAATGCTAAAGACCGTACTCTCCCTGCAATGTACGTACACGTGCCTGTATATACCTTCATGAGCATCGGAGGTATTATGCAGTGATGAAAAGACCCAAACTGACGCTGCAAACACGCAATACCTAGGTTCTTGCCCACCTGGGTCAATTCGAACATCGTGGCGGGTGCAGACACCACGAGCGTTTTATCTGGCGCCTTGATATATCATCTCCTCAAGAACCCCGCGTCGCTCACGAAGCTGCAGAGGGAGATGGACGATGCCACCGCCGCGGGGCGACTCTCCAAATTCGCCACATGGAAAGAATCCAACGACCTTACTTACCTTGACATGTGCGTGAAAGAGGCCACCAGGATGCACCCACCGTTCTCCCTCCCGTTCGAGCGCGTGGTTCCGGGATGCGGACTGGAGATTGACGGCTATCACATCCCCCCGGGAACAAGAATCGGAATCGTAAGGGGATTTGCTTCTCGTTTTATGGCTAAACTTTCGAAACATGTCTTGGTGCTGACGACTCGCTCCGACTCCTCCCAGAACCCATGGTCGCTGCATCGCGAAGCATCACTGTATGGCGCCGAACCGGACCTCTGGAGACCAGAGAGATGGCTGTGTGATAAAGAGAAGCACGCAGCCATGTACAATACACTTTTGACGGTAAGTCTTACCAACAAGAAAGGATTCCACAGGAAAACCGCGTTGACGCTATTGGCTTGCTTCACCAGTTTGGCGCTGGCCACCGAAGCTGTCTCGGAAAGCACCTCGCCTACTTTGAGATATATAAACTCGTGCCCTCGCTGTTGCAGCGCTACAATGTGAGTAAAGCTACAAGGACTACTAATCAGTTTGAGGACGCAAGTTGATTGACGGCCCGCACAAACTAGATACAATTGGTAGACCGAGATGAGGAGTGGACTGTCGACAACAAGTGGCTTGTCAAGCCTTCGGGGTTCCGCGTCAGGCTTTCGAGTCGTAGCTAGGGACCATGTACATAGTTTACGATAATTTTCCAATTAATTAGACAAGATTCGTTGGGCTGTAGTAATGCACGCAAGACGGATCGGAAAGATGACCAACTGAAGCCGTTTGCCAACCCTAGACTGTATCTTCGTGCCCGGACATGGTCTGATCCGGGATACCATTCTTCGCCTCACATGATGCATGGACATGAAGAAAAGACTTTCCATGGGCTTATTATCCAACTGCAGCTAGTCTACCCGGAGGCCAGCCCTCTGTCATGAAGCAGCCGTGTAAGCTACCTAGGGCGGTGCAGGTTGTCGGGTCCGGGGCCGAGTTGACTCGGGCCAAACGCGCAGTCTATGTGCATTACGGATAATGTCAGTACCTATGCAGACTTATGTGCTGGGAAGCCTCGCAGACTGCTTAACTATGTATTCCGACGCTACATAACTGAGGTACTTGGCTTAAACCAGCTCCTCTTATTCATCACGATTGGCCCCGGGTGACTCGTTACTCGGGTCCCGTCACCCAATCTACTTGCATCGGACGCAAACCGACCAGCATCAGCCCATCTTAAACCACCATATATTGTGCTGCAGAAGATGCCCACAGTATAGTGGCCTTGGTCCGTCTCCGAGCTGAGACAAATCACCGATTCGGTCCGTCTTCATTTACCCTAGCCCACGATGCCTGGACTTACAACCCAAACCCTAGTCCAATCCGAGAAGCTGGAGAAGCCACTCATTGTTTGGCAATTTCTCAAGAAATGTCTCCCGCCGGCAGAAAACAAGGACATTGAGTTTTGGTGGAATCTCACCGGGTACCACCTCGCGGTCATGATCGACGCGGCAGGCTACTCAACCCAGCTACAATACGAAATCCTTCTTTTCCACTACCACTGGATCGTAAGCAGTTCACTTCCTCCGCATCCCGTGTTAACACGGGTCTGACGGACACTTGGCTCAACACCCATATAGGTCCCTCGGCTGGGCCCAGCGCCTCAGCCCGATGGCACTCCGGCTTTCAAGTCTCTCGTTGCCTACGACGGCTCGCCGTTCGAATACTCGTGGAAATGGAACAGCACGTCCGGCGAACCCGACATCCGCTACTCCTGGGAGGCCATCGACGGCTCCTCGGGAACCGCTGCCGATCCCCTGAACCACGACCCCACGCTCGACTACATGGATAAAGTGCCGGGCGTCCTCCCGGGCGTCGACTTCTCGTGGTACCGCCACTTTTTGGCAGAGCTGTACAACCCGGACAGGTCCGTCTACGCCAAGGAGCTGGAGGAGGGCGAGCCGCCGGCTACAACGCTGATGCACGCCGTCGAGTACAACAAGAAGGCCAGCTTCGGCCTCAAGTCGTACTTCCTCCCGAGAAAGCTCTTCCTTGGCGGCGACCCCGCGACGCTGGGCGAATGGGACGCCGCCATTGTGAAGCTGAACCCGGACGGCAAGCACCCAGGCCGGGATGCACTTATGCACTTCCTGGCCAACAGCCCTGAGGGTCGCCTTATGAAGCCCAACGTCATGGGTATGGACAACGTGACGCCTTCCAAATCGCGCCTCAAGATGTACTTCACCTCGCGCCACACCTGTTTCGACTCGGTCCGCGAGGTCGTGACCATGGGCGGGCTCCGCGACGTCTCCGAGGCTAGCCTGCAGGACCTGCGCTCGCTCATCCTCGCCGTCCTCGGCCTCCCGGGGGACTACCCGGAGGACGCCGAGTTCGCCCCCGCGTCCGCGAACGGCGGCGACAAGTGGAACGACTTCGACGCGCTATGCGAGGGCTTCACGTACTTCTTCGACATCGCGCCTTCGAGCGGCACGCCCGACGTCAAGTTCTACCTACCCACGCGCAAGTATGGCGCCGATGACCTGACGATCGCGAAGAACCTGGTGGCGTGGCTCCGGGAGCGCGGCCGCGGCGCCTACTGCGACCGGTACCTCGCCATGCTGGACAGGCTCGCCGCCCACCGCGGCCTGGAGAACGGCAAGGGCATGCACGCGTACATCAGCTACCAGTGCACCGACAAGGGCGAGCCGGACATCAAGTCGTATATCTCTCCCGAGCTATATCACCAGGCACGGTACCTGTCCGCCTGATAAACTTTCTGTTTGGGTTCCGAATGATGAAAGATTTCTCTTGGTTTCTCAGAGTTCTCACTGAGTGAATTCTGCACACGGAAGGCCAACGTGCGGTGCCATAACGATATTGAAAGCGTATAGGGTGTTGTTCATGGAAGTTGGTCGTGGCAGAGCTATACGTAAGGACATGATAACAGTACACAACACAAAGTAAATATGTTGGGTTTCAAGTCTGACCTTGCACCTTAAGAGGGGAGGTTCTGATTAATGCTTTGATGGACTAGTCACACTCTAATTAACTTTTGTTAAGGTCTTTAATCGCCCAAGTTATCACGGTTAAACCTGCATTGATAAGATTATATGGCTTTGGTTCTGGTGCTTAAGAAGAAGCAAAGTAAGCTTTGGTGTGCTGTGTTATTTTCTGTTACCTGTACTGATTATCTACCTATATATTTTACTCTAATCAGAAGGCTTCAGTAAGCCTTCTGACTTATAAACTCTTGAAAGCTTTATCGACTACTGGCCTCTTCCTTGATAGTCTCGGGTGATGGGAGTAGTATCCCTATACCCATCCCCATCCCCGCTCCAATATCCACCTCCGACGTCACACGGTGAGCCTCCTCCCACAAACGCCGCGCTGGGGCATCATGCAGCGTGTATAACCATGGAAACCCGCTGAGAAGATGGTGAACGGTCGCCCAGTCGCGCAGGTCCGCGTAATGGCAAGTCTCGGCGACTGCGAAAAGCAGCCAGCCGTGGTCGTCGGTTTTCAAGACCGAGATGCCGCTCACAAAGAGGATCCACAGCAGCAGCGGGACGCCGCCGCCACCGGCCCGCGCGTCTAATTCGTGCGTCGTCGTCGAGTGGAGCTCTCGAACGGCGTCCGCCAGACGGGCGCATAGAAGCGACGAACCGAAGTTGTCGCGGCAGTAGTTGGGGAGCAGGCCGGTCATGAACGCCAACATCGCGAGACGTGCCGCGTCGCCGTAGAGGCCTTCCGAAGCGAGCGGGGGCCTTCTGAGAGGTTCGCCTTCCAAGAGACGGTAGAGGAGTGATATGAGCGTCTCCGTGTAGTCCAGAGGGTTGAGCTTGGACCGTCCGTTCTTCACCCTGTCGTTGAGGATGCCGGCGAAGACGATGAGGTCCAGCATGATGCGGGGCAGCCCGAGGGGGTAGACGGAGAGCTGTTCTGCGACAGTACTAGAGTCGCACAAGACGGTCGTCACGGGCACATCCTGACTGTCAAACAGCGTGGCTGACCCGTTTTGCACGGCCAGTTCAATATCGAGCCTGCTGGTTGGTGAGTCATCTTTTGCTTCGCGGAGAGCATCAAATGTCGGATTGGGAGTTGCATATTGATTATTCACCTGAGCGGCTTGAGGGCCAACGGACGGTTCTCCTTCATCAACCTGGCGATACCCCCGCGTAACTCAATCATTCGATGGAGCCCTTTGAGGTGTATGAGGCCAGTGGCGTGTTGCTGGTGTATCTGTTGATAGATGGCGAGGGTGACGACGGCGGCAATGGCGCTGTCCGATACAGCATGAGGACCCGAAAGCTTGAGGTTGACCAACGAATAGGCCTGACATACGTGATGCAGAGCCCTGGGCGACGTGGCGGGCTTTCGTTCAAAGAAGTCGACGTACGATGCCGACACGGCCAAGGTCGAGTGGAAGTCTGGGAGGGAGGCAGCGGTGAGTTAGAATGGCAACTCGACTGCGTGAGTTGCAGTTTATACTTGCATGCTTCATCTACCAGTATGCAGTTGACCCAGATCGATTTCAAGATATCGAACTTGTAGCAAAACTGGGGCGGGAACAGAGCGTCACTGATGTCAAGGAACCCTGGAGAAGGCAAGTCAGAGTTGAAGCTTCAGGATATCATTATCAGATGGATGGGCCAGCCGTAATTACACCGATGCATGAGCCTCGTGGAGTCCGGATCCAGTTCTTGGGGGAAAGATGTCAGACAGAAGTCATTCCAGAACACCCGTCGCGGGATCTTCAGCTGACGCCTGATGGGAACATTGCTCGTCCGTCTCCGCGTCGAGGGTCGCGGTCTGCCGGCATTCTTGCCCCTCATGACGTGAGAACGGAGGGCGCGGCGGTCGGATTCGCCTACCCCGGCCGCGTTCTGTTCTATGAAGACCAGCACGGGGCTCATCGCGGTCGCTCAACGCGTTTGTCCGGTCGATATCGGTATCGAAGATCACATGCGGGGTGCTCTCCCTTGACGATCCGTGAACTCATTGAGCTGTTGTTGCCTGTCTGTCTCCGACGGGGGATGTGCTATTTTTAGACCACGCTAGACGTTAATCCGAGCTTGCTCCGATCACTGGGGTTGGATAAACAAGATAGGTAAGCTGCCAAGGTGACACACAAGTATGAACCTGTCGTCCTGGTCGATTGAGCTCTCTCATTCAGTGTAATAATTGAACTCGGCCATCCTTCAATACCGACAAATCTATGGACAGATTACAGAGCGAGGATGTAAGCCCGACCAACCCCACAATTTAGGAACGAGATGGAGACTCAAGGAAAATTTTGTAATGAAAGCAAGTTTACATGCAGGATTGTTGTTGTCGTTGTTGTCGTTGCGCCCAACATCCTTGGCGGTAGAAGCAGTAACAAATGAAAACTCTATAGATTCCTCGAGAAAATCTTCGACAGATCGGTCACAACGGCCATTCTAGCTCCAGCCTGCCGCGTCCGACGGAACAGGGTGATATCCGTTGAAAAATCCCCGGGGATCAAACTTGTTCTTCAGGCTCGTCAGACGCTCGTGGCGCCACTCGTCGTACCCGTAGAGAGCCGACAGCGGCTCGTCCTCGTTGGCATAGTTCTGGTAGACGTAGAGCCTGTCGTAGCCGGAGGAGCTGGGCTGGGCGAAAATGTCGCGCCACTTCCTGAAGAAAGCCTCCACGGCGTCGGCGACGGAGTCGTCCGTGTACGACGCGATGGACTCGATCACGTTCTCGAAGTGGTCGCGGTGGGGGAAGGCCGAGTAGTCGTCGGCGAGCGCCCTGACCCCCTGCACGGGGAAGGTCTCGATCATCATGGCCGACCCGGCGGCGAGGGGGTTCTCCACCAGGAACGTCTCGAACGCGTCGGTGAATGTGACCCAGGTGGCTGGGTGGAGGACCTTGGTGCTCAGGCTGCGCAGGTTGTACCGCGGCCCCGTCGCGCAGGATTGCGGGATGAGGCCGTGGACCGTCTTCGTGGGCAGCTCTTCCCAGCCCAGCATGCTCTCCTGCACGTCGAGGCTAAAGGAAGAGAAGCGCTCGGTGTACTTCCTGCCCTCTTCCGCCGGCCCGGAATAGACCAGGTTGACGACGATGGTGATCTTGGGGAGCAGGTTAGCAAGAAACAACAATAGTGAGCGAGCTTGATAGTGAGACGTCGAACGTACCTGAGATGAGGCAGAATCCAATGCGAAGAACATGAGGATGGATAGCTTCTCGTCTAGACCGTCCGCAGTCAGCTCATTCGTAACCTCCATGACCCGCTGCACCGAGTCCTTGGAAAAGACCAAGTCCGCGCTGTAGTGCTTTCCTCCATTCGTCGCCGGCCAGGTCTCGTACGTCGACTCGATGACGATGCCGTAGTTCTGGCCGGATCCCCTGATGCCCCAGAAGAGATCAGAGTTGACGTGGTCGGAGGCCTCAACGACGGTGCCGTTCCACAGGGCCACGCGGACCTTGCGGAGGGCGTCGCTGGTCAAGCCGTGCAGGCCCTGGAGACGTCCGAGGCCGCCGCCTAGCATGGCACCCGTCGAACCCACACACGGGCATGATCCCACAGCTATCTCACGGATTAGAAAAATGAAAAAAGCACATCATTCCCATATCGGCGCGTCTTACTCAGTTCTCGTCCGGCAGCCGCCACGGCGTCGATGAGGCCGCTGAAACGGACTCCGGTGCCCACAACAGCCGTGTTGTCATCTTGCATCTTGACGTAGTTGAAGTTCTCCAGGTTTATCAAGACGGCATCTTGGATGGCGTGGAGAGACGGAGCGTATCCGTGACCTCCGGACTTGGCCAGCCACGTCATGTTCTTACTGGACATGTACTCAAGCTATTATGTACGCGGACGAAATTCGTGTCAGTCAGAGCTTCTTGTTTGTCCGAGAGTCGGACAGAATGAAGTAATGCTGGATGTGCCAACTTACAGCGAGGGAGATTTGCTCCTCGGTTTCGGGGAGGAAAACCTCGTCAAAGGTAGGAGCCTTGTAAGACGACCAACGCGTCGTCTTTTCCCCGAAACCGGCCCAGGTCTTGTCGTGTACCAGAGTAGAAACATCCGCCGGCCATGAAACTCCAGAATTGTTGCGCGCGTTCAATGTTGAGAATGCCAGGGGCGTGCATGATACCGTCTGGATCAAGGCCAGAAGCGCCGGTACGGCTTGAAGGATGGCGAGGCGGGCCATTTTTGCTGATTTCTGGTGCTGTCGGGGTGAAATGCGCAGGAGTTACTGGTTGATGATCGGACTCTGTGGATGGCACATCGAAATAAAAGCATGTCAAATCGAGGCCCTCGAACTTTTATATTCTTCTCGAACCTGTAATCGTTCACGAAGGTGGCCTGCTGTGCCTTCGCTGTCCGGCCCCCAGTCATCAAGAATGACACCGTTGTAGGGCCATCACAGAGAGCATTCTGTCGCCCCCTGTATGAGGCGCAGCTGTGTTCAGTGACGAAAGACTCCTCCATGTGCCCCGAAGTGGTGATAGCTTGGGCGAGAACATCGTGAGATTCTTCGGTCAGGGCTCAGCCGGTGTCCTTCCCGGCCTGATCGGGGATGGCGTCTTCTTTGGGGGCGTCCGGAAGCTGAACATGAGCACCCAATACGAAGCCGTGCCTGGCAATATGGCTGTTCTTCCTGTTCAAACGAGGCCCCGTGGCGCAAGCCATGGGGGTTGTAACAAACGTTCCTTGATCCTGAGGGATCGCTAGTTCCAAGGCAGCACCATTCAACGAGCCTTTCGTCCCAGGAAGCGGATATGATACGATCAGATGAACCTTGCATCAACAAGGCTGTGAACATTTGAGTGTACAAGCCAACGCCGCGACAGCCGTTCGGAATACAAGGCCGCAGCCAGTCGCATCACTAGGCAACGTTATCAGGGGTCTGCCTGCCTGGAGCGTGTAGTCCTCATGTGGTAGAACAGGGGAAGAGGTAGGGGGCTTCAGTCAGCACCGATGGCTCGGATCACGGGGGTTGACAGACATGGGCGTTCGTCCCAGGATCCTCACCCCAGCCCGGTCCCCCCCCCCCCCCCCCCCCAAAGTAGGTAATAATAGGTAGCGGATAGCTTCACATGGCGTCTGAAAAGTGGAACCGGCCCAGGCCGGTCGGGGACAAAGAGCGAAGATACGATAACGATAGCATCTTCTTGAAAGGGGAGGGGGGGCCAGAGTCGATGTCCTGTCAAAGAACCGTGTGACTCAGGTCCGCTCGGCTGACAACTCGGGCCCGGAGGCCCACAAATCGAACTCGGGTCCCGGGCCGCGTGAGGTGCCAACCTCCGGCGGAGCAGAGCATACCAGGCCGGAAACAGTCGAGTGTCTGCCTATCCAAAGATTAGGTGCAGCCTGATTTGAGAAACTCAACCAGCTCATCCGTCATTCTTTGGTGAACCGCGCTGTTTGAGAGGCGCCATCCAAGTAGAAAAACACATTTCTTCCGCCCCCTGCCACTCCTCCCAAGCCTTGCGCTGAAGGAACGTTGACGAAGAAAGCACTATTCACATAGCAAAGCGATGGGCTCGGCCACAAGAATCCCAACATGCGCCGGAAAGACCGTTCTGGTCACTGGCGCAGCCGGGACGCTCGGCCAAGCGACTGCAATCTCGTTTGCCGTCGCAGGGGTCGCCCGCCTCGCCGTCATCGACCACGTCGACGTTTTGGATACGCGTGAACAGGCTCTCCAGGCTGCCTTGGATGCCGGCAATCCGGCGCCCGACGTCCTCGCTTTGGTCGTCGACGTCTGCGACGTCGCGAGCGTTGAGGCGGGCGTGCGGGAGGTGAGCTCGGCGTGGGACCACGTCGACATTTTCGTCAACGTTGCAGCTTCTTCGTCCAAACCCGCCATCGCCCGAGGCGATGTGACCGGGTTGAGGGACGCGGATGCCCGATGGAAGGTCTGGGAGGCCAACGCCAAGGGCATCAGCCTCATGGCCCGGGCACTGGTGCCCCTCTTGTCGCGCGGCTCAGACAGGACGATCGTGAACGCGGCCACTGTCTTCTCCGACGATCTTGCGGCGTCTGCAATCGATAGCCAGTTTTCAGTTCTGGCGCTCACGCAGATTTCAGAGTGTCTGATGCTCGACAACGCGCACGAGGGCCTGCTGGTTTACTCTGTGAACCCGAACATCGATCTGAGGGGAAGAGTGCCAGCGGCCGTGGGACAAGGTATGTCGAGCTTCTGATACTCTACAGAGGATAAGCAAACTCTGGATTAAACTAATAGTTATTTGCCATACAGTCATGGATGTCAGACGCAGCGATTTCATTGTCCATCTGACCGGCAGACGGCGCGACTGGCTGGCGGGAAGACATGTCGGAAGCGTCGAGGACTTGCTTGAGCTACAGGCCCGAGACGAAGACTCGGCCGGTAGTTCCCCTTTGAAGGCGTGGCGTCCTGTTGAGATGGGTCGTGAGGTTTTTTTGCTGCCTTGGACGTCTAGGAGGGGTAGAGTGCCTCGTAGCAGTTACTGAGCAGTCTGTCGGGACGACTGGCATGTCGTTGTCAATGTGAGCTGATGGGTCTCATCGATTGAAACATGGCTTGATGGGCACGGTCAGGGGAACTCGGTATGAACTTTAGCGGGAGTTTAAATATGCACAATCAAGACTAAATATTGTCTCGGCCAATTCCTGTGATGTGTTCATCTTACTATTCGCGTTAATATAGTGAAGGCCGACAACCAAAGAGCGACCCCGATGTGATCTTTTCCACGCTAAAATTGTAACTTGAAAAGTTGATAATCATGATTCGACATATTCCGAGACACACATATTTCAGCTGGCTGCCATATGTGGCCCATAAACGGTGTTGACTGGTCCTATCAGACAGTAGTGAACATGTAAATGAGCTTCAGTTTTCGAGGTTGTGGATGGATATGTATTAATCTCTCAAAAGACGCTTCGTTCAACAGCAAGATGAGAAATCAATCAGGGTATCTCATATTTCCTACGACCTAATCAAGTCTCCTCCAAAGACGTTGACTATTGATCTAATTCACCTAGGAAATCTGAGTAATGCATCCGGGCTGCACCTGTTCCAGCTTGGCGACAAGCTCCTTCCATATCGTCTTTTGCAAGCGCTGGCCCTCGTCGTTGCTGAGCCAGTCCGGCACCCAGAATTCCTTGATCTTGCAGCCCGACAGAAGCTTTCCGTGGCCCTCCTCGCCGACCACCAGGCCGTGTAGGATGGTGCGGCTGCCGACCTCGGCCGTGCGGGCCATCATGGCGCGGACCGCCTCGTGCATGATCTTGGTGAAGGTCCTCGCATCGCGTCCCAAACCGGTGGTGCAGAGACCGGGGGCGACCATGGTAATGACGACGCCCGTACGGTCTACGGGAAACTGGGCCGCGAACTGACGGACGGCACATTCCTCGACGAGCTTTGTGAGAGCGTACCTAGTGGTGTATGGGTCAGTCAGTCCCGTCAAGCGCAAGCAAGCCGCTTGCTCTCTCTCTCTCTCTCTCTCTCTCTCTCTCTCTCTCTCTCTCTCTCTCTCTCTCTCTCTTTCCCTCTCCCCCTCTCCCTCTTCTCTGCTTCTCCACCGACGTACCTCGAGTCCATGTTTGCACGCTTCTGGTCGTTGAGCCCGTCAAAGACGCCCCCGCTGCGGCTCTTGTCCATCTCGGCCTTGACGGTGTACCCCAGCACGCTGACGATGAAGACAAGTGTCGACTTGATGCCAAACCTGCGTGCGCTCTCGCTCAGCTTGGGCATCATCAGGGCCCCGAGGAACAGGGTATTGACGACGTTGACGAAGATGCTGCTCTCAACGCCTTCGAAAGTCTCCCACTGGTCGATCATGATGCCAGCGTTGCAGACGAAGCCGTCGATCCTGTCTAGCTCCTGAGACATCTCCTTGGCAAAGGTCTGAACGGCGGCGTAGGTTGACAGGTCCAAGTGCCGCACCTATTGTCGCGACGAGAGGGTTTCCCAAAGTCAGTCTGCGCGTTTGTTCTCGGCCTCACCGGTGTTTTGGGGCCAACAACAAAACCGCTACAAATGTCATGTTCATACCTGTACGACGCCCTTGCGTCCCGTCGACTTCTCAATGTCTGCCTTGGCCGCCTCTCCGGCGCCCAGATTCCTCACGGCCAGGACGACCGTCGCGGCGGAGGCGGCCACGAGGTGGCGGGCAGTCTCCAAGCCCAATCCGGAGTTACCTCCGGTGATAATGTACGTCTTCCCCACGCACGTCGACTTGTCCACCAGGATGGGAAGCTTCCTGTACTGCTCCGCTGTCAATCGTAGCATCACCATCTTTGCTGCCGCTGCTGCTGCTAATACTACAAGATATTGCAAAAGTTTATTGAGAGTTCTGAAAAAGCAAGAAAAGTTGGCTGTAAGACAAGTTCAAGAAGGGCGATGGATGTGTGGGGGATTTGGGTTGTTGGTCTTGTATGCCCAGGAGACACGATGTGCCAGCGTGTTGACACCACGGTATCCATCCTTTATATCCCAAGAGAGCAGGCAGACAGCGCTGTACAACATCTCCCAGAAGCTAAGGGAGAGCGTCAGGGCTGTGTCCAGAGACGGCATAATCAAACGCGCGTGGCATCGCCATTTTGGTCAGTCAGTCAGCCAGTTAGTATGTATTATGGTCGTGTATTGAATGAATCAGAAACAGGCGGCCAATCACCGTATCATCCGCCATGTGGGGCCCTATCGCTAGCCAATTAGATACTGTTTTCCGTGCTGGGACTAGCGGAGACCCCCCACGATATCGTAGCCGAGCCAATCAGATATTGATTGCCTCTTTAGGAAGAGGGCGGGAAGGCACGTACCTCGCTAACGGTTAGTCTATGTACCAAAGTACTTATCCCTTTAGTTGCAAGCAGACCTCATTAACCCCCGTGAGGGGTAGAAGCAAATCAGGCTACAGCAATTAACGCTGAAAGCTAATAGTTTTAAGGCACTGTTACTTATATACAGTACCAGGTCATAAGTCTGGCGACACCAATAAGGGCAACCAATCAAGCAACTAGGATCCCACCGTGCGACCCATATTCATAAGAGAGTTACACAACATTATCATAATAACCAGACTGTTTGGCTCTGGTTTATGTAAGGCAAGCATCATGTGACCCTTATTAGTGTCACCAGACTTTTGACCTGGTACCGTAGCATTTTACCTATGCCATATGTACCTACAGTATCTACCTTTACATAAAGGTACATCATAGTCTAAGTAGCCCTACTAGGTCCTTTATTAGGCTAGACTATTACGTTATTCTACTGCTCTAGGCAGCAGTTATCTACAGTACCGGCTCAAAAGTCTTGTTACAGCAAAAAGAACACCCAATCAAGCAACTAGGAATGCACCGTGTGACCCATATTTATAAAGGATTTACACAGCATTATCATAATAACCGAATTGTTTAGCCTTGGTTTATGTGAGACAAGCATCATGTGACCCTTATTGCTGTTACAAGACTTTTGAGCTGGTACTGTAGGTAGGCAACAGCAAAGGTCCTCTGGCAGCACCTCTACGTGAATAGTGATATAAATAGAGGTATTGGAGTTAGACATTGTAGATTTTAATGAGGATGTTGGTGATAATGCTGTTATTGGTGGTGGTTGCTAATAAAATAGCATCTTAAAACAAGGTATTGTTATGTATCTCCGAAAGTGAGGGGTAAAAGTGGGGGTAGGTCCACCAAGGGGTTAATGAGGTCCGCTCGCAACTAAAGGGATACCCGGAGTAGGTACGTATCTACCCACCTAGGTTGCCTAGGCATCCTCCTATCCAGCCTTATCTTGATTATTTGCTTGTTTCTTTGTCAGCTTACTCTGTATATGCAGACTCGTGCATGAAGGAAGAGACGTACGGCTTGAGGACTCTTGACCCCTCGGTCTGGGCCTGGTCTGATTCGATCATAGCCCAAAACGGTTCAAAGGGTGGTGGGCACACTGGCATCGGTCTGACCAACTCTGGACCAGATTGGGTATATATCCCGAGGTTTTTTCTGCTGCGCTGGATTGGCCTGATGTGACCCTGCATCTCGGAAACGCGTACGCGGTATGCGGCTAAGCCTTTGGCGCCCGTTGAACCACTACATCTTACGATTGCACGGTTTCGAAGCCTGTCTGGGACGTTGCAGACACATCTATTCATGACCCGCTCTTTCGGAAGTTGAAGGTGCCTAGGTGCCTTATTCGCATCGTGCCGCGCCGAGTCACTAGACTAGCCGCCGAGGCCTTACGCCTCTTTCCTGCAGGCAGTGGAAGCGGCCTAGTCATGTAGGAGTGCTCGGGTATGTGTCAATATCTGACACCAACATGGGTCTGTACTGTACCTAGTATTACTATTGGCCCTCTGCCCGAAAGAGACGACGCCTGCCTCTTTTTGTCGCTACTGTTGCAGAAGGCACCGAGATCCATATTGCCCACGAGAGTTATGTCCGTATGCAGAACTGCGCTGATTTGATTCCCTCGTTTACGAGCCGCAGCGCCGCAGGGTCGTGGGGATTCTGAGTTGTATACCTAGGCTTACTCAGGCTGCGCAGGGCAATGATGGAGGCGCGGCGTAGTCGCCGCCCTCGTCCGTTATATATCTAGATTGGTACCAGCCTACATGCTGCAAATAACTCCCACTCGGTCTGTGCACGTGAAACAAGCAGGAGCCTTTTGTTTGTTTGCTTGTAGATCAGCTTTCGCCTCGGACTTTTTCATAGAATATTTTCTTCCCATCTTTTCTCTCCCTTTGCGTCTTTGCGGAAGTTCCAGAGAGACCACATACCCACATATATCCCATGCCCCCTACCAGAGAACGAAGATGGTGGACGACCCAGGAAGATGACACACTAAAAAAAGAGGTGCAGGTGAAGAGTAACTACCAATCTTTACCAGTCTCGCGCCACAAAATCTAACGATCATCTCCATGTCCCAGTGCGCCAAGACGGCAGCGTCCAAAGCTGGAACGACATCGCCATGTCATTACCGGGCCGCACGAACAAGGATTGCCGCAAGCGGTGGGCCAAGATCCAAGTCGACATCCGAAAAGGTGCTTGGACGCAAGAAGAAGACGAGAGGTTGCACAAGGCCGTACTGCAATTCGGGTCCAAGTCGGTTGACCCCACGCTGCCCCCATTCTCTCGGGACTCATCAATGCCAAGATGCTAACCTCCACGCTTGGCGTAGATGGTCTCAAGTAGGCGCCATGGTCCAAAGTAGGAATGCCGACCGTAAGTGAAAATCGCATACCCTCGTCAACATGTATTCCTCCTTGGTACCCTCTTAGTGCTGAGATGCATCCTATCTGCAGAATGCGCGAAGCGGTGGCAGCACGTCTTGGGACCCAACGTCAAGCACTGCTCCTGGACTCCCGAGGAGGACAGCAAGTTGCTGCACGCTATGACCAAGTTCGGGAACAACTGGAAGCAGATTGGTCTTACCGAGCTGCCGGATCGTTCCACCCACGATCTACGCAACAGGCAAGTCGGGAAATCTTTTGTGCCGTCACCTATATGCCCATGATGAGCCTGCAGCTCACACAGTCACACTCGCCCACAGGAGTCTCATTCTCGGCCGCAGAAGTCGGCATGCGCAAGCCAAGGACCCAAATTCCTCTCCACAGTCATTTCCCTACGCCATTGACGAGGAGATGGCCAAAAACGGCCCTGACGGTGACGACGAAGGGGAGGAGAATTGCAACGGTGACGGCGACAACTCGCTTGATGGAGGTTCCGAGTCTGAGTTGACCGACTCGAGTGGGAAACAAAAGCACCAGTTCTTGATGGACATGGATCTCCTGGCCGAAGAACCAGTCAAGGCAGCAGAACTCGGGGCCGGGCGCACCATCGTGGCAAACTACCAGCACTCACACACATCCCGGGTAGTGCCCGCTCTGGATCTGCAAGGTAATATTATTAGTACTTTGAAAATGTTCGACCCGAGCCGTATAGACACCCCAGATCATTCTTCGGCAAACTCGGTGTCGCCAACCCCGGACAGCGATTGGATTTCCTGGCCCAATTCGCTCGACGCCGACACCTCGGTTTGGCCGGAATCGGGGCCCTCGTGGTGGGACGAAGGTCCCGCCGGTCAAAATTGCCTTCACGACTTCGGCTACGGGAGTTCTGACTTCAACATGGCTGGAATTTCGGATGGCAATCATAGCCCGGGGGCTAGGAATCGTGTCAAAGCCCTGACTTCTCCGAGGGCTTCTCCCAGGCCAGGGACCCGCGCCGAGAAGCCGCGGAGGGACAGCGGGCCGATGGGTCTTGTTACTTTGTCTCTGGACCAGGTAGACCCGATAATCGCCAACGAGATAATAGGAAGCGTCTTGAAGCACAGTGCTGGCCTCAAGATCAACTGCATCATCAATAATCACTGAAGAATCTCAGAAGCAATGTGTATACTTATGTAATAAGCTCGCATATGCGATCATGGTCGAGAAACAAAGAGCCCATGACAACTGCTTATCATGATGATGATGATATATTTAACGTCCAGAGTGAATAGGGACAGGCCAGGCGATGCCGACATGGTCTGTACTAATGTAAACTATTTTATAGGCCCCAGTCTTTACCTAACGTCCCTGTTTAATGTCTAGTAAATTGGGTAGATTTTAGAGAAGAAATTAGTTACCTTTATCTATTTGCATAGGAAGAAGGCTCTCTTTATAGAGCCTAGTAGAAAATTAATGCTTACTTTTACTATACATTAGTAAAGATAATATAGTATAGCTTTTTAGCTATACTTATAGAAGTAAAAGTACACTAGGGTTTTATATCTACTATAACTATAGTAAGTAGTATATATATCTTAATAAGTATACCTCTTAAAGTATACTATAGAGTCTTTATAATATAATCTTAATATATAGTCTTTTTAGTGAGTACTAAAGAAGGTAAAGCTAAGGGGGCTTAGGGTAAAGAACTATCCTAGGGTTAATATACTACTAAAAGTAAAGTAATAGCTATTTTTTAGTAGAAAATTAGAATATAACTACTTTAGATTACTATTCTAAGTGTACTAATATAGGCTATAGATATAATTCTATAGTCTATTTATAAACCTCCTTAGCTAAAGTGTTTACCTTTATACTTTCTTGTATACCTATATATCTAAGATACTACTTAATATATACTTTACTTAGTATTATTTAGCTTACTTCTTATCTTTATATTCAAGAGAAAGTAAAACTACTAAAGGCCTTTAATTTAGCCTTACTACTTTTTATTCTCTAGATAATAAGCTTAGCTATAATTATAAGATTATTAAGGTAAATATAAATATTATCTATTATTTATACTATAGAAGACCTTATAGCTTCTAGTAGGTCTTAGAAATTAGCTTATATCTCTATATTAAAGACCTTTATTTAGTAGTTAAGTAGTCTTAATCTCTAATAGATCTACTCTATAGCTAAGTACTTTACTTAGCTTACTCTAGTAATAGTTTTACTATAATCTAATATCTAGACACTATTAGTATAAATAATAATGTTTTACCTTAAGAATATTCTGAATTTATTTATAAAAATAATAGCTAGTTCTTTTTTAGTCTTTCTAGAATTATAGTTAACTATACTAAAGACTATACACTAGTTAGCTAAGTGCTTCTAAAGTAGTAGGTCTAGTAGGTTTATATATTTAGTATTTAACTATTTATATTAAGAAGGCTTATTGTTTACTATAGTCTTAAGTCTTGTCTAGGCTGATCTCTATGTCTTATTTAAAAGAGGTATTATTTATTAAGCTAATAGAACTTTATAAAGACTTTATAAAGCTTAGTGTCTAATACCACCTTTACTACTAGTAAAGTAGCTTTATACTATAGGATTAGTATAAGTATTATGTTATATATAAAGAGTATAGCTTTAGTAGCTTTAGCTAATATAATATTAGGTTAGTAAAGTAAGCTATTGACCTTATTTAAAGTAGTATACTTAATTTTAATATAATTTTTACTTAGCTACTATATCTTTAATATATAGTACTAAATAAGTAGTATATAGAAGGTTATAGTATAGTAAAGTAAGTAAGCTAGTACACCCTAGATAGTGTTCTTTAGTCTATAGTTATAGTCTACTAATTACTAAGTAAGCTTTAGTATAAAGGCCTTTTATATAGTTCTTAAATATAAGTCTTTAGTTAAAGTAGACCTTTAGCTATTATAAGAAGGCCTCTTAATTAATAGCCTAGACTATATACTATTTTTTATCTAGTAGTCTAATAATTATTAGTAGGTTTTTATCTTTTAGTCTCTTAGTTAAGTAGATTAGCTTAGATTTATTAGTATTAAAAGTAACTCCCTCTAATGCCCCCTATTATTAGGCTTTATACTATTCTTTTGCACAGTTGTCCTCTAGTGAGGTTGAGCTTGCTATGATAGTAATATTGTTGGCGTAGCTAAACCAAGATCGCTTCCTCCACGGAAACTGCTTATCAGTATTATATTAATAGCGTATCATCTTTGTCTTGTCCCAATATCGCTTATTAAATCATGTGCCCAATCTCTGCACCTATGATTCTCGACCAACATCATCTGAGGTCCCGTTCACGAGTCCTGGCTAAGACCCGAGTTCTGCCGCTCCTGCGCCCGGCCAAGGAACCCGACTTGGGGCCAAGTACACCTGATTGGTTCATTCATTCAAACCCCTCCCCTGCTGTCTGTGGTGAGCGTGAACAACAAATGTCGAATCCTTCTTGATGGTAATTACCACTGGCACGCCACTTCTGACCACACGCGCTGGCTGCCATAGTGTTCTCCTATCCACCCATTCATCCCCCCCGCCCCCCTGTGAACCAGATACGTACGCGCCCATGTCGTCTTTCAGACCGCCCGACGTGAGCCTAGAGCACGCCTCGGCGTCCGGGTCGCTAACGCTGCCCGAACTGGTCGACTTCCACGCCGAAAACAATCCCGAGCACCTATTCTGCCTCCAGGCCGAGGCAAACGAGGCCGGAAATGGCCACAATTTCGTTCCCCTGAGCTACGAGAAGTTACAGCGCGCCATCATTCGCTGCCAGGCATGGCTCAGGCAACAGACGACCAGCCTCCACCCGCCCGAGACCGATGCCGATGGGAGCGTGAAGAAATGCGCCCCCGTCGCGGTGCTCATGGAGAGCCACGTCGGCTTGGCCATCTGCGTGCTCGCCTGCATGGGCATGGGCGTGCCGGTCGTCCTCTTATCGGCGCGTCTGAGCGCGCCGTCCGCACGGCATCTAATCCGCGAAACGGGCGCGAAGCTCGCTCTCGTGTCTCCCCGCCTGATCGCCCTAGCTTCCGAGGCGGTGAGTGAAGAATATCGAGGCGCTGGAGAGCCGCCTGGTGAAAGCGCGACGGTGATCCGCTCTGTGTCCGGCTACCTGCCGTTTCTCGCGGATAAGCCCGCAGAACGCCGGGATCGCACCCTTCGCGCGGCCCATGCGGATCACTACGTTTCGGAAGACGACCGCCAGGTTCTCATCCTGCATTCATCGGGAACCTCGGGTCTGCCGAAACCGATACCTTGCTCCCATAGATACTTTCTGGGCTACGCCACATGCCACAACTTCCAATCGACCGCAGAAGCTCAGGGACTGACGGTTTCAACACTACCGCTATTTCACGTAAGTTGAAGGAAAATACCAAAGGAAAAAAAAAGAGAAAATGGAAGAAAAAAGGAATGATAGTTGTAGTTACTCGGCTGATTATAGAGGCAGGGATTTGGCTTTGTATCTGTCTGCCTGTCTCTCAACATCGGCAAGACATTTTGCGCCCCTTCATCCTCCACCATCCCCAACGGCGCCAGCGTTGCGGCCCTCATAGAGGACTCTCAAGCAAAGGCTCTGTTGACAGTACCATCCATCTTGGAGGAGATTGAGGGCCTGCCAGACGGCAGAGGGCACGACGTCCTCCGCAAGCTAGATTTTGTGGGCTTCGGCGGCGGTAGGCCCAAAGTTTCGGTCGGCGAGAGACTCGAACGTTCGGGCGTGAGACTCGTCGGTCAGTACGGCGCGACGGAGACCGGTCCGATGACGCCTTTTTTCGTGCCCGGCAAGGGACATGACTGGCGCCGACTGCGGCTTCGTGCCGACATACTCGGGCCGCTCCAAGTAAAACTCGACCTCGTCGATGCCACAGACGTAGAGAGCGCGCAGCCCGGATCCGAAGATGCACAATCTTACAGTTACAAGCTCAGCATGAAGCCTTTTGGATGGCGGGAGCGCTTCGAGCTGCAGGATGTGATCGTGGCACGCACGGAACACGTCTCGGCCGACGACGTGGGACGGCTGGATTTTGTGATTGCGGGCCGCAAAGACGACTTGATCTGTCTCGCCACCGGGGAGAAAGTGAGGCCCACGATATTGGAATCCTTGCTCCGGCAGCACGAATGCGTGAGAGACGCAACCGCATTCGGAGAAGGACGGTTCGAGCTCGGTGTCATCGTGGAGCCCACCAGACCCGTCGCACCCGGCGAGATGGATGACTTCAAAGTGTCTATCTGGCCGGCAATCGAGGAAGCCAGTCATCAGATGGATGCTCACGCGAGGATCACGTCACCGGCTGGGATCCTCGTCGTCGCTCCCGGAGCGCTCCCGAGATCGGATAAGGGCACCGTCCTCCGGAGTGCGGTCTCGAGCAAGTTTGCCGATGAGATGGCGGCGGTATACCGCGATCTCGAGGCCGGCATAGTCGCACCACCCATCAATCTGTCCTCGCCTGCGTCCAGCATCAGGAATCTCGTCACCCGCGACGTCATGGGGCTGGTAGGCAATGGCGGTGACTGGCGGGACGACGACGATTTCTTCATACTCGGCATGGACAGCCTTCAAGCGACGAGACTACGGAGACTACTAAAGGCTGCATTGCACGCAACACATGCCGCTGCCGAGCCCGGGATGACCAACGTCCTTGCCTCGGAAGCGGTCCGGGATGACATCGTCTATAGCAACCCTTCTGTCAATCGGCTTGTCGAGGCACTGATTCCCGGTTCGTCCAAGACGAACGGCATCATCACCGAGATGGAGCTTATCGAACAGCTCGTTGGCAAGTACACCGGCAGAAGCGGACATCGAGAGCAGCGGAAAGCTACAGTGTTGCTCACGGGCGGTACCGGTAGTCTCGGGTCTTTCTTTGTCGAGAGGCTCCTTGCGGATGACCACGTGGGCAGTGTCATTTGCTTGAACAGACCCGGGAAAGGAGATGCGACAGAAACTCAGAAACTTGCGTTAACGTCGCGAAGAGTCTCTGTCGACGAAGACGCTTGGAACAAGTTGGAGGTTCACCAGACAAACACTGCAGATCAGTGGCTCGGCTTGCCGGCAGCCGAGTACCTGCGCCTCGCGGCCAGGGTGACTCACATCGTACATATCGCATGGCCCATGAACTTCAAGATGGGTCTGCAGTCGTTCGAGCCTTCGTTCTCGAGCTTGCAGAGCCTCATCCAGCTGGCGCGCCTGGCAAGTGTTCACCTGACGCAGAAGCCGAAGCTGCTGCTGATATCTTCCATCTCCACGGTGGGAAACTATCCATCGATCAAGGGAGAGGCATTGGTCCCCGAGGCTCCCCTCGAGGATCAAAGCTGGACGCTGGGTCTCGGTTATGCCAAAGCCAAGCTCGTCTGCGAGAGAATCGTCCAACGCGCGGCACAGGAACATCCCGAGATCGAGGCGGCGGTTGTCAGAGTCGGCCAGATTGCCGGCTCCAGCATCGGCTACTGGAACCCCGCCGAGCACTTCGTAGCCGTCTGCGCTTCTTCTCAAAAGTTGGGGAAGTTCCCCGACCTGCGTGGGGTAAGTTCAGATTTCGGACGAAAGGCCCGTTCCGCCGGCTTGAACACCGGTGTGATTTCCATACCTGCTAATAATAAACTTTGCTAGACATTGTCGTGGCTGCCGGTTGATTCGGCTGCCGAAGCCCTCGCCGAGATTCTCTTCCATCAAGGACCGCTCCGCGCAGTCTATCATCTCGAGAACCCGGCCCGGCAAAGCTGGGGGGAAGTGGTCAGGCTGATTTGCGAGGAACTGCGGATAAGCAGCTCGTCCATCATCCCGCTCGAAGCCTGGCTCGACCTGGCGGAGGCTCTGACAGGACCGGGTAATCCTGCCGCAGGCCTCACACAGTTTCTCCGAGAGGATTTCACCAAAATGTCGTGTGGTTCCGTTGTTCTGGATACCAGCAATTCCTGCAACGCGAGTTCGACAATGGCCAACATGACGTCGGTGAGGGAAGACTCCATCAGGGCATATGTTTCCTACTGGAAGAGCATCAAGCTGTTGGAATAGACACCTTGAGGACCCTCATCTCCGCGGTTTTTGCTGGGATGCGTTGAATGAGAGTAAACTTTTGAAATGTCACATTCTTGGAATTCGAAAACAGTACTAAGATTCGACTTAATACTCTTTTCATACCAAGGCCTTCAGTATTTAGATATCTAATCTAACAAAATGTCGACCACTAGCAGATATGTAGATTAGTAGGTAGCGATCTGTAATAAGCCATATCTTTATCTTTTCTCCTCTTTTTTTTGAAACAAAGAATTTACTTCCTGCATTTAATTACTAGTTCTAATAGGGTGAGAAGTAACTATTACTTGTCAGGTAGTGAAACCACTGCCCAGTTTTACACTGTCACCTATTTGATTCGGTATCTGTCGGTACTATCTGTATGCATTAGTTGTTAGTTTGTAGGTCTAGTCAGTGAGGATCGTACCTTTCCTATCACCTATTAATTAATATTAACAAGACGACCTACTATATTATACATTATCGTAAATAAAACATAAGATACTCTACTGGTAGTAAGTTATTACTTGTTATTACTATCTTATTATGTGTTCTTGTTTTTATTATTGTTTTAGTATACTAGAATAATAGTGTACTATGGTGGGGGCTACATAATGGTAAGAAGCAATAAAGCCTAAAGAATATATAACACCAGATATTTTATGGAAATAGACTACACCCGCTAGGAGAGACTGTAATACCTATTAGATAGAGTATATTATAGTACTGTAATTAGGTATACAAGCTTGACACTTAAACCTATTTTCATATTATGATCTAATAAGTTGTAGGACAGGCCGCCCACTTGAAGGAGAGCGGCACAGTACTCATAAGACCAGATCTAGGACATACAGATAGTTTCTTAGAACCTGAGAGCTAACGAAGGTTATACAAAGATATGAAAGGACTAATGCTTAATATGTTGTTAAGTCATAAAAAAACGCACATAGTTACTTCTGGATATAAGCGTTCTGGACCAGGATAAGCAGTCTAGACCGGTTCACCGGGTGCATTATATCACGATGTATATAACCCGATATACGGCGCCTCTGACCTGTGCTACGTTTGAATTTTTCAAAACGGTAGAAATATCCATAAATAATGTAGAGGAACTGCCGTAGCAGACTTTAACCATGGCGCTAACGACCCTAACGACCCTGTTACACCTGCACATACACACAGATACAACCACATCAATACAACAGGGATTATCGCTGTAATTACGTACTTCAACAGTAACTTAGCACAGCAGACTATATACCCAGTAGGCATATGGATACTTATGTACCCACCGATGGATACGTCTGCTGCACCAGTCTATATACCGATCTATCTCCTGTCCTGTAACAGAGATCCCTATTAACTGTGACTTGATATTGAAATTAGTCTATAGACACAGAGAGCGATCCTAAGACTAAAGGTACAGTGTCCTGAATGCCGGAGAACCTGGATCGGATTCACGACGTGTGCCAAAAGCAGCAATGTGCGCAGGAATGACAGTTGTTTTAGACTAGCCGGCCAAAATGCCCAAACCCGAAATCATAGATCCATGTTTCTATACTCTAACCAGGCAAAGACCATGTTGTAGCAAAACTCCGACTTGACAAAAAGGACCTGGGGTAACTCATGTTACTGTGAACTACCTAGACCCCTGACAAGCAGTGGCCCTGTTCAACATTCGACAGTTCTAACTTCTTACTAGGCGGGCTCATTATGCTGAAGACTCAATGATACATACCAACCATTACATCGACATCCCAACTAAGCTTCCCCTCGACTTTTGTGTACCCCAACTCTCGTGTACACATGAACCCCTTTCTACGCCGCCCTCGACAGGCCCCAGCATTCATGCCTTGCCCCAATGTGGCATTCTAGACCTTAAAACGCCGGCCTACACCAAATATTTATGCTAGACATACCAACTTGGCGACTCAGGCTGCGGGCGCAGGAAGTGCCTTATACTAAGACTACAGACAGTTTTAGTCTAAAGTTTTAGTCTTAAGTTTTAAACTCTATCTTTAGATACTATTAGAACTATAGCATAGGTTTATGCAAGTAACTATATTAACTACTATATAATATTGTTAGTAATACTAGTAGATATCTATAGGGTTGTTTACTACTCTCTTGTAGTTAGTGTATTACCTATTAACTCTCTTTCTTATAACCTCTTTATACTATTTTAAATATATATATAGTACAAGCTATTATTCTCTTAATTATATCTTAGTTTATAAATATAAGCTTTATACTAAATAATATATCTTGAGTCTAGTAGCCTAGGTTACTTAGTTCAAAGCTAAGTCTAGCCTATAGTAAAACTAGCTATTTACTACTTACTTTATTAAAGTTATTACTATAGTAAGTGTTATTCTTTACTTTTATAGTTTTTCTCTTTTTACTAAACTTAATAGTTATTTATAACTTTAATAGTAAGTATTACCTACTAAGTTACCTTTAAAAGTACTTTTCTATTTTCTTAAAGATCTACTATTTTTATCTTAAGCTTATTATTATACTTACTAATACTTAACTTATTAACTACTTTATTATTTAAAAAGACTAAACTTATATTAGAGTTATATTATTAAACTAAAGACTAAAGATAACGTAGATTATTACCTTAGTTAATAATAGTAGTAGTAAGTTAGCTACTATAATAGCTACTTATAATTACTACTATTATAGTAATAAAGTTTATAATAGTATTTTTACTAAGTTAAAAAATAAAATGTTTTATTATATATAATAATAACACTATTAATTATATAGTAGTAACTAACGCCTTATATTACTATATAATATACCCTCTTTAATTCTAGAGGGCTTTCTATAGTCTAACTACTGTTATAGACTTACTACTCTTTTAGTCTTACTGCCCTTTTAGTCTTACTAGCTATCTACTTACTAAGCTAATAGAGGTAGTTTTTACCTTAGAGGGAATTTAAACCCCTAGGGTCTATAACACTTAGACACTAGCTAGAGGCTATACTATTAAGGTATATAGTATAACTAGGCTTATAACTATTATAAATAAAAATAACACTATCAATTATATATTAGTAACTAATGCCTTATATTACTATATAAAAAGTGTTTATTATATAGGCTTTTTGTTATTATTAATAAGCTTACTACTATTACTATTATTATTTCTATTATTATTATTATTATTATTAACTTTTTCTTTATTAATAGTTACTACTACTAACTTTCTTAGTGACTAAAAGGTTATTATTAATTCTTTTACTACTACTATAGTAACTATTATTACACTAACAGGAAGGTCCTAGAGCAGTAGCTATATATACTTGCCTATTTAAGTGTAGTTGTTCTAAGACCTTCTAGTCTTAGAATTCTATATCCTTTTACGTAGATACCACAGTAGTATACATTTAAAGGCCACGTCAGCAGTGTAACCGCCACTAGAGCAGTCTAGCTACTAGTATATAATATAACTACTAGCTTTTATAGTGTCTTAATAACTAGTATTAACCTTATTACTACTACTATAGGGCACTTAATAACTATATATTATAATAATCCTTTATAGATAGCCTTATAGCCTTAAGTACTACTAGCTAGTAATACTAGTAATACGTTTATACAACTAGAGGTAGTATCTGTGAAGGGCCAGGCCTACTAGTGTAGGCGTAGTTTGGCTGCTAGCGAATCTCGGCCTTCAGTGTTCCCATTATGTGGGGCCCGCCGCCCTTCAGGTAGGCAGACACAATGGCGTGCACTACCTATTGAGCCATCTGGCCAGATAGTTAAAAGGTACGTAACTACGAGTCCCTGACTTGTTGTTTAGTAGCACTTACAAAGGCAAGCAATAGGCACCCAGCCCATGCCAATTAACTAAGCATAGCCTATAACAGTATCTTCCTTTTTCTTTAGCGCTATTATTAAATAGTAATAGTAATACACTTATTAATTAAAGCTATTTATACTATAGTAGCTATATAGTATAAGATAATTTAAAGGTATATAGCTACTTAGCAAGGTAACCCCCCTATGTAACCCTAACTAGGGTAGTTATTATAATAGTGTTTTTAACGCATAGACTAAAAAGTAGGTTTTAGACGCTGCTAACGTAATAGACTATAACCTTAGAAGTGGACTAGCAGTACCTAGTAGGGGAATTAAGATCATTTGTAATAAACAGATTCGCTTCTAAGCCATGCTGTCAAGGTCGCCATACAAGAGGAATGTGTACGGCCAGACAGCCCCGCCGGATCACCCAATGAAGTGACTGGCAGACTCGAATAGAGGAGCTGTGATTACAATTCTCGCAAACGGGCGAGATGCACATGGGTTACCGGCTACGGTACGTCCCTTATGCGGTGATTGGTCAGTCGCTTCTGCGTCTGGCGCCGCGCGAGTGGCTTCATCGCTACTCATTTCCATCTCATGGAGAGTTCCCCACTAGATTCCAGTCAATGCATTGCGTCTGGCGCCGCGCGAGTGGCTTCATCGCTACTCATTTCCATCTCATGGAGAGTTCCCCACTAGATTCCAGTCAATGCATGAATGCCAGGCGGAACTGCCTCGAGTTGAAAACCGCGAAAGCTTTCCCAGCCTGCGTAGCATGCGGTTGTCCATGCCATTGAGTTACGGAGTACACGACGCGCTAATTATTTCTAGAGTCGGGGTCTGCTAGGGGTCTACGGAGCACCAAACCAGAAGCGTGTGCGCAGCATACGAATGCATGTGACAGCAGCGTCGCCATCAGCGCGAGCCCATTCTGCATTGCCACGGAATCGGGCATCCAGGAGGCCGTCGCGTCGCACACCCAGCGGCACAGCGTCGCCGTACCCCTCAGTTCTTAGACGACAAGAATAAGGGAACTCAGTTCAATCGACAAGTCGTTGGCCTGATATTTAAGTGTATGACGGACGCGACGGACCATCTAGTAGTTATATTAAGTCAAAACACGCACTTATGACCCCCCTACCTATATAGCCTGCCTTTTCCTACTAAAAACAGCTAAAAACAGCTATCTATATCTACACTAATTAAAACCAAAAAGATCTATAACTTCTATATAAAGTAGATATTATATCTAAGAAGCTATAAAGAAAGTTTTAATTATTTTGTCTTAGTAAAGCTCCAGTAATAAGACTAAGTATCTAGCTATTAAGGTTTACTAGTATTCTATAAGAAATCTTAACTTTTTAAAAACTAAAATAACTTAATAACTTTTAGGCTAAAAATAGTATAGTAAGAGATTTTATAGTATTAATGCTTTCTTTATCTTTATAGTAGGAACTATATAGCTAATTTATAAGAAAGTAGTATTATATTAGTAATATAAAGTTATACTAGTTAAAGTTTCTTAGTTAAATACTATTATACTATATATTTAGTAAAATAAAATACTTAAAAAATAAAGCTATTAATATTTCTAGCTTTTAGTACTTAATAAAGCTAACTAATACTTTTATTTATTTTTATTCTCTTTATATTAGCTATATTCCCTTACTTTAAACTTACTATAAGAGAACTTTATAGTAGTATACTAAAGCTATTAATTAGAAAAATAAGATAGATTTATATATACATAGGCTAAGAAACTTTTATAGACTCTATTTAGAAAGAACTAAAGTAATAAGTCCTGTAGTTACTTAGATATAGATAGCTATTTCTAGCTGTTTTTAGTGGGAAAAGGCAGGCTATATAGGTGGGGGGGTCATAAGTGGGTGTTTTGACTTATAAGCTTGGGCAGCACCCCCAAGGCGCGAAGAAAAAGCTTGGTTGTTTTCTAGTGAGTATTAATTAGCCTGCCTCAATGTGATGAGGCAGCATGCGCCTAATGCTGCAACACAATTTCACACCATCTAAAAAAACCCATGGTATGCGATCACAATACTATTACCGCTCTCGAAAAGCGCACCGGCAACCTCGCGAGGAAGATTCACGAGGTGTGGGTGGCGTTGAGGGCGGTGAGGGCGGTGAGAGAGGGCCCCTAGGCAGAATGAACTGATCGTTGCGGCGCGTCACTAATGTGTTGGTGCTGGCACGCCGGCGAATGATGCGAGCAAAGACACAGACTGATGAGACCGATGCAAGGTTGCGTCTTGCTGTTGACAGTCTGAGGCCCTGAGTGCACGAATATGAGGACGTAATCAGCGACTGAAAGAGTGTACGAATTTGCTGCCTGAGAGCTGAAGTAGCAAGGACCTGGGATTACCTGTCATTGCTCGGAGTGACTAGACACACGTGTTCGTCTAAATGTGGTATCAATGCGTTCTTTTCCCCTTCGCGACGCTCTGCAAGGGATTGACGTAAAGCAATTATGTGTGGTTTGAATTAATAATCCATTAGTGCCGTCGCTGAGGTATTTATTGCAACTTACTTTGACCAATTCACCAATTCTATTCAAGGTTCGCGAACACCATGGACCCACCAACCGACCAGATTATCACCACCCACTGGGCTAGCATCAGTAGTGGCCTCGACCTCTCAACCGGCTGCCGAGACCATGACAAACGGGCTCTCCACCTGTTCGGTCCACGACATGCTCTTCGGGCCAGAGGCAGCCATATGGACGTCTGCAAATTTCTCAATATCTCAACGCGGACTTTAGACCATCGATCTTAGACGCTGTCCCACGAGTCTTTAAATTACTCTCGCTTGCAACTAAACACTCACGCATCGACATGGCACTTGTAGAGCCAGGATTTTAGCCTTTAGTCTTTCATTTTCTACGGAGTTGGAACAACCCCAGAAACAGCAACAGCATCGGACGTACTCAGGTACTTTGCAGAAGTTCACAAAGTGCCTCTGACAATGATTCCATGGACGCAACCGGGAACAGTGAGTCATGCACCAAGTCATTAGTCGAAAAGGCCGGAAGACGGAACCGCCGTGTGCACTGCATAGTAGTAGAGCTTGAACTGATAAAGTGTGATGACAAAAGCGGATCCATAATTGCCACTGCGCAATTACGGCTTATATTATAACACATCCCCCTAGGCTTTCAATATATCTGTTATTAAAAGGCTAGTAATATAGAATATTCTTGCTTAATAACCTTTTAATTAGGTACATCTTGCGAGAATATAAGTAGTATTTTTAAGTGCCCTAAACAGTGTTTAAACCTAAGCTACACAGAATTTATAGGGCGTCTCTAATAAAGCCTATGCATATACTATTAAGGCACACATAGGTCTAGAGTAGAGTAGGCTTATAACTGTAATAACAAAAGCAGATCTATAATTACTACTGCGCAATTATGGCTTATATTATAACATAAAGTTACGATATTCTCCATAGGTCGCTTAGAAGTCCCTCAAAAGTTCTTGCTGCCCAACTTGAGACCTAGTGAAACCGTATTTTGCGGTTATGATAATACGTTAGTCAAGCCACAATAACTCTACGAGAAACGTTGTGCTATTCATGACAGAAGCGTCCATCCTGTGACCAAGTCCTTTACACAACAATATGTGATAAGCATCGTGAGCTTCGCGTCTTGACGTGTTTAAAGAGAGTAAAACTAGATCAACATACAAAGCAGAAGCCATCGCCCACGTTGCCGACCTATACGCAATAGACGCTGAGTTAGGAGGGCTCAGCATTGTCACAGATGCCCTAGAATGGGGGGCCCAGGATCCGCCTCGCTAGACTCGAACAACAGATCCATAACGGAAAGTCCTGTTCTTTGCAAAATCGAGTTCCTAGTCAATGCCTGGCTGTCTGCTGTCAGCTCGCAAGAAGCCGCGTTACGGTAAGCAAGACCGGCGCTACGGAGACGGCTAGCGGCATTACTTGCATGCAACCCAACGATCCCCTTCTCCATCCCATGACAGCCAAGACACAAGACAAAACCGTCAAAATCGTCCGTTGGTAGTTCGCATCAGTAGTAGCAAGTCAGTAGCGATTTAGACGGCCTTGGGAGAACAGCAGCTCAGATAAAGAACCCCAGCAGCTCAACGCTAGGGTTCCCCGCCATTGACTGGGACACGCTAGTTAATGATGCTAGCGAGGACTGCGTTAGCTGGTGGTTTGGGAAGGACCCGTAGAACAAGTAGGTCATCGATAGCGACCGGTGGCTTGTCGACCGTACCAGCCAGCCAGGCACCCCGCTCATGCGGCATTGGATCGTCGACGCTGTAGCCACAGTACCCACATAGCCACCACCAGCCTCCTGATCCACCTAAACGTGACATCTAGAGGGATTGAAGCCCTATTTCCTTTTGTTACCTGAACTTGTTTCCACTTCTATCTAAGCAATGCTATTGTTAATTAATTATTGTGCATAATGGCTGTGAACTTGGACCGTCTCTCTAGTCTGTCCCCTAGCACTAACTTGGCTTTACTAGGCTCTCTTTTCCTCTCTTAAAGCTAGCGGTACGTTGATTTCTGCTTGATAGTAATTGCGGGCCAGCCACGTTAAAAGGCCATCAATGCTTAGGTACTGTTGTGCCCCCTGCTGCCAGGATTCAAGAGCGCTACGTATCATAAAACAGGTCGACCTAGGGACAGGGGTCATTATTCTGCCTACCGGCGCTACTGTAGTGAAAAACGGTTTGTACCCTAGGTAGGGAAGCCTGAATAGGGGCCGGGATTACACTGTGGAGCCGGCAGTGGCGCAGCCTCGGATTTTACCGGCCGGGATAACCGCCTGCCAGGTTGCCTCAGCCGCTTGCCGGATGTCTCCGCTGCCGACTACAAGGTAATATGTTGCATTACTCAAGCTTATAGATGTATATTGGCTATTAATTCTTGATAACCATAGTCTTCTCCACTTTACTATAAAAATAAAGAGTGATTTAAAGGAGTAATAGGGACAGTAGTTATATAAATACTTGTCAAGTGTTCCTGTTTATGATTTACTTTTACTTTATTCTATATCCACTACTTCAAAGCCATCATTACTACTTCAAAGCCAACTCGCCTGCTTTGAATCCATCTATACTGCTTCAAAGCTATCTCTACCCGTTCGAAGTGCTCCAACAATGAAGCTCTCCCTACTTATAGCTGCTGTTTATGCCGTTGCCAACGTTCAGGCTACTTGCTAGTATGTCAACAATAACGTTCTTTAATTAAGCTTAACTAACAGTATTAGTTGTTACGACTGGACTGTTAGCAACAGACCTCCTTATAAAACAATCCCAGTGAGAGACAATGAGGCTACTAGATATGCTTGTCAGCACTGGGGGTATGATCCCGTCTCGGGCAATGGCGGATTGGTTTGTAACTCAGCCACGTCGCTATCCCTGGCGAATTGGAGAGCGGTACGTAAACTAAGCTGCAAATTCATATAGTCACAACTAATGACTGTAGGCTTGCTCTAAATATGGAGCAAGGGGCGGAGTCTGCTAATGTCTCAGTCTTTACAATCAAAATATTGGAGGCCAGTATGAGGCTACGTATATAGGCAACTAGAATTTATGAAGAACGGCAATTGAAGAGCTAATAGAAAACGGTGGCTAATAGAAATAGAGGGCTAGTAGGAACAGGAGCATTAAATAAAAATGCTTATTAACGTATTATTACTGCCTACTACTTGCCAATTGCCTGTGACTGGGGTAGGAAGCTTGACCTGACATCGTGTCTTCCCCCATCATTTGACCCAGGAGGTCACTGGACTTCGTAGCCAGCTTTTTAGAAGCCGCTTCAACGGAGACGAGGCCGAGAGAGCCCTGTAATATGCTTAATACACGGCTGTTGATGACGTCGGAGTTGAATATGTCAATGTTGACAGTATCCTCAGAACATATAAATACAAACAATTTGGTTTAGATTTAGAAAGAAACCTGTTTTCGAAAATAATATTTGTGGAAATTAGCAGGGATAGAGTAGATAGATACGTTTTTATTAAAATAGAATAAATGCGTTTCTGAAGAAACAGAATAGATATAATTTAATAGAAACAGAATAGATATATTAACATAGGAAGAGAGTAAAAATGCTTACTATAGGCCTTTAAATAGTCTTCTAGTAGTTAATCTAAAATAATTAGTACTTAAAGATATATCTCTATAGTATTATATAGAAGAGAAATATATAAATCACTAGATAAAACTATAACGTATAATATTAATTTTATTACTTTAATAAAAAAACCTATATACTAAAGTCTAGATCTTATAATCTTAGTAACAATATATTAATTTTTATAATAATAAGCTATAAACTATATTCTAGATCTTATAATATAAATAGAAATAACTATACACTAGAAGTAATACCTTATAATAGAAATACTATCTATATTTCTATATAAATACTACTAACTAAGAACTATAACTCTAATATTAAAACCTATAACCTTAATAGAGAAAACTATACACTTAAACTAATACTTTATAATAACGGTATTATTTATATTAATATATAAGTACTAGTAGCTTAGACCTATAACCTATATTCTAGATCTTATAGCTTTAAAAAAAAAATATATAATCTAGTATAAAAGTACTATATACTTAATATATATATATATATAGTAAGAAAATAATTATAGTAAGTAGACTATATCTTTTTACTTTTTTATTATTTTAATAAGTTAACTTAACTATATTATATAAAGTTAATTAAAACTATATATTACTTTATTCTTTATTACTATTCTAAACTACCTTATAGGTTTATATATTATATTTAGTCTTTCTATAATTACTATATTATTATATATATAGGTTAGTACCCTCTATATAACCCTCCTTTTAGGATACCTTTTTTACCTTTAGCTTTAATACCTTCTTTTTTCTTATAGCGCCTTTACTTTAGTTATGTTATATAATTCTCTAAGATATAGTTAGGTCTTTTTAGCTCTCTAGTGTTTACTAAGTACTTTTATTTCTATATAAAGTTTATAGTGTTTTACCTTAATAATAATAAGCTAATATATTAACTTACTAATACTTTTTAACTATAACTTAATTACTTTATATATTAGTATTTATAAACTTTCTTAATATTCCTTAAATTCTTTTTTAGTAAAATAAAACTTTATATACTTTTAATTACTATTATTAGTGCCTTTAGGTCTTATAAGCCTAAGCTAGTTAAATATAAGTTTACTAGTGTTAATATTTTTAGCTTAAAATCTAGGTAAAAAATAACAGCTTTAGGATTAAAAGGTATAAAACTAGCTTACTAGAAACCTACTTATATATTAATTTTATTTATTAAAGTAAGTAACACTACTTTAAAGATAAAACAAAATTATTTTAATTAATATATATAATTTATATTTATATTATTCTCTTAGTTTTTTATTATATAAGTACTTTAAAAGGCTAAAATAGTTAATATTAAAAGGCTAAAGCTTATATAATAAATAAAAAAGTATATATAAAGTATTAATTATTTTTTCTTTAGATATTTATTAAATTTAGTTAATTTATAGCTATAATATTTATCTAGAATTAGAAGGTAATAAGTACTTTTTATATAAAACTTTATATACTAGTTAAAATAATTTAACTAATCTAGGCTAATCTTATTTATTATTTATCTATTTTTACTTAAGTAAATATACTAATTAGCTAAGAATTAATTATTTTAGTACTAAAAGAAAAAGTAATATTTACTTTTTATAATAATATATAGAAGTATTATTTAGCTATTTATATATATATCTTAAATAATAAAAACCTATTTATAATTACTAAGCTACTTTATATTAGGCCTTCTATATATATTAAAAGTTATAATAACTTTTATATATAATAGTGTTTTTATTAAGAACCTAGTCTTATTAAAATTATAGATATTATAATCCTATATTATATACTTTATAATTATATTTTATATAAGTATAAACTAGCCTTATATAATTATAAGATCTTTAGCTAAGGCTCTCTAGTAGTTAATTTAATATTAAAATTATATTTTTAATTAAGGTTATTACTATATAAAGTTCTTAACTTATTAAGGTCTAATATATATTATATTATATTTATTTAAGAGTTTATTAGCTATATCCTATATACCTTCTTGTTAGTATATATTAGATATTAAGGTTTAAAGACCTTATATATATAAAAATAAGATAATAATATAATAAAGAAGTAGAATATATAATACAGTATTAATAATACTGTATACACTATATACACTAGATATAAGAATAACTACTTAGAAAACAGCTATATATACTATATAATAATAATATTTATATATAAAGAATAGGTCTTTTAAGTAAGACCTCTTCCTTCTCTAAGGAATTAAGAATATAGTTCTAGGTTATATAAGGTAAACAGATAAAATAATACCCCACTGCAGGTAAAACAATACCCTGCATTCTAATAACCTACCTAATAACCTACTTAATAACCTAGAATACTAAAGAAATCCTTAGAATACCTAAGATATAAGTATAAGTAATCCCCTTATATCCCTAGGTCTAGTTAGATAGTTAGATCTATAAGCTCTTCTATTATATCTATAACAATATACTACCTTTATATCTTATCTTCTATCTCCTATCTCTTATTTGCCCCTTTTGCCTCTAAAAGTATATAAGTAATATAACTAGAGGAGGCAGGTTATATAATATATAATATACTAGTAGTATTCTTTATTTTTACCTATAAATAGAGTATTAAAAAAATATAATATAAGTATAATATAATATAAATATATATATTTATATTTTCTTTCTAGTATAATATAATATATATATTTATATTAATGTTTTTTCTAATATACTATATAATATTAATATAAATATATATATTATATTCTATATAATATATAATATATAAAGAGAAAATATAAAAAGTTATTAAATAGACTTTATATATATATATACTTAGTAAATTATAGGGGTAAATTAACTTCTTATTAGGTAACTAAATAAGTCTACTCTACTATTATTATATAAAGTAGTTATATACTACTTAAGTATAACTTAAGTTATTCTAGCTAACTAAGAGATATAATCCCTTCTTAATATAACTAAGGGCTAAATAACTAGTCTATACCCTTTAACCTTAAATTATAAACTATTTATAGTTATTTAACTAGGTGTTATATAATTATTAGTATTAATATTCTAATACTTACTTTTCTTCTTTTATAATTATATATATCTTTATATTAACTAATTAAATAGTCTTAATTAGTTCTTATAATAACTTTACTTTTAATAGCCTACTATTATATATAAAGTTATCTAAATAAAAATAAACTCTAAATATACTTTTTTTAAGAGTAAATATAAAGTAATACTTACTAAGCTAATTAAATCTATTTTTTTATATATACCTCCCTGTTTAGTTATTTTAAATAGTTACTTACTTATATAATAAGCTTTTACTTTACCTTTACTTTTTCTTTTACTTATAAAGATATTACTAAAGGGTTAGTAATAGGCCTTATAAGGTCATATATAGTGCAGTTCTAGCACATAGTGCTAGAACTAGTAGATCTTTTAGCAGTTGCTAGAATAGTCTATTGTTAGGCGTTAGTACACCACCTAATCCTATTACAATTGTTTTAGCACTACGTAGGTCTTCTGGCTATAGGAACAGGGGCTGGGTTTGACTCCCGCCTGTTGCTGAGGACTTCTTGGTGTGTAGGCCTACCTTAGAGAGGCAGGGGCTAGCGGTTGGTCGGCGACTGGTCGGGTTATAGGCCCACAGCGTTTAATTCAGCTTAGCACACAAGAGGTAGCCTACGTTAGGCTCAGAGGGACTAGGTGTAGGGAGGCAATATCTAGCAGCTGTTGCTAGACGCTAGGCTGCCTAGGGCCTTTGGGGTTCACATGACCTTGTGCTCTAGCGCACAGATGCTGGCGCTAGTGCAAGCTCCTTAGGACATGTCGCATTAGAAGGGGGGCAATTATAAAGATATTGCCAAAGGGTTAGCGACAGGCCTTATAAGGTTATGTGTGGTGCAGTTCTAGCACGTAGTGCCAGAACTGGCGGATCTTTTAGTAGTTACTAGAATAGTCTATTATTAGGCGTTAGTATACTACCTAATCCTATTATATTACTTTATATTTATATACCTTTTTTCTTTATATATAATTAGTAGCTTTAACTTCTCTTATATAAATACCTTTTACTTTTTACTTTTCTTTTCTTTTTTTCTTTTTTCTTTCTTATACTTTTTTAATAATAATAAATAATATATAAAACCTTACTAGTATAGTAACCTTACTACTTTCTCTTTATTATCCTTCTTATATATTAATTAATTAATAAGTTCTTTTTTTTTTAACTTATTAATAATTTATTACTTTATATATATCTTTTTCTTTTTATTATTAACTTTACTAATTTATAATAGATCTTTCTTGTATATTATAATAGTCTAACTTAGCCTTTAACCTTTAGTTATTAGTTCTCTTAGGGTTTAATAGGACTAGAATAGTATAACCTAGCTTTATATCCTAATAGGTAATACCTAAAACTATACTTTTTTTTTAGCCTTTACTATTAATATATAAGGTTTCTTTTTTCTTATTACTATTTATATATACTAACTTTTATTAAACTTTTAAAATAAA